GTGCAGGAGACATCATCTACCGACCATTAGGTATACTGATTTTTGATTGCGTGTGTTCAGGTGGAGGAGGGAAGCGTGGCGGCGGCAGTCTGTCTACAGGCCGGTGATGAAATGGTGAGCGTGAACGCCGTTTGCCTCAGCGGCTCCCGTCAGGAGGCCATCTCTCTGGTGAAGAGCTCTCATAAGACCCTGACCCTGGTGGTCCGAAGGTACCATAACAGCAGATATCAGAGTTTGGGTACAAATACATTGTTAGTTTGAGAAAAACATTTTTAAAAGCCTTTTTGTCTTTCATTTTGTTCAACGTGTTGAATGATGTCTTTCTTTACCTATATAAAATACAGTCGACAATTATTACTCAGTTTAGGAAGTATCTGATCAAAGAATGAGTAGAAAAGATTATAAATCTGACCAGACTTATACTAGTACCCGAAAATACTGAGGTTTGATACCCGGCCCTATTCATGGTTCACATGTAGTGTGTTGTGTTTTGGAATAACAAGCCGACAGTCTTTAGGAGGTCGAAGGTCGGGGGTCAAAGCCACAGTTCCCTGACAAAAGAGGACCCAACCTAAGAACGCATTATGGTGACCTGCATCTAAAGACTGTATGACAGAGAGGAATTGCACATTGTGTCCTAAAAATACTAAAATCCCATCATGTTTCTTCACTAATAATTAATTTCTCTTATTAAGGAGGGTCGGCTGAGGCAGACCCGGTCTGACAGCCTCACAGATGGGCCTCTCACTGTTTGTTTGTCCCTCAGGGTAAAACAAAAGCGTGTATTGTGGAGGCAGTGGAGTTATTTCAGAGCGCAGATAATGACTCCTAAATGAGAGAGTCCCCTCTGTCAGCTAGGGTGACACTGACCCACCACAGCCTCACCAGCCTCAAACCAACACGAGTCTTCTTGTGGTCCTGGGAGACCGGAAGGGTGGTCCAGTTCAACCTTCAGGTCATGGCGATTTATTCTTCTCTCGTTCACAGTTTTGCATTAAACGGTGTATAAACTCTGGCTCTATGTTCTCTGTGTAGTTGAGTTGTGTTCTTAGATTATCCCAAATGTTGTTTCCCAACAATGTAATTTTATTCGGATTTATTCGCCACATTGTTACCATCCACTGTTTAGATCTTGGTGCTTTTTAACTCTAGATTGGAACCGGATGAAGGATTTTAGTCATCAGACGTCTGGATCTTAAGTTATCAGAGAAACAAGCTGAGCTAAAGTTAGCAGCAGCTCGGCTCGCAGCCCCTCCGGGACGTCCTTTGTCTGTCCAACAGCGTGGGAGAAGCAGTGATTGTTAAGGTGGAACTGCTTTATTCAGTGTGTGAGTGGTTCAGTGGGTCCGTGCAATCAGCTGCTTCATGTCATCAAACTTAGTCTTTTCTTATTGATTTGATGTGAGAGACCCTCTAACGGCAGAAAAGAGAGAATAAATTACAGAATAATCAGCAAATATTCACACACATACAACAAACCAGATAACAAATTATTGCCCATCCTTTCTGTAAATGAAGTTTATTGTTATTTGGGCCTCTCTAAAAGAATAGCTTCAGTTTAAAGCCGTTCTACTACATGTTTTACTGATGTCCTGTCCTGTCACAATTATACGCTTACTGGCAAATGGCAACAGAGTCTTAAAGCCTGAATCCAATTACTAGTTGCAAAGCCAGCGGCGTGGGCTAAGCTTTGCAGAGTGGGTTGGGTCAACAGGATGGAAAGGTGGACCGTCAGTGTGTTCCAACAACCTGCTCCTGCTGAGGACACCCTGGATCCGAGCGAGGCCACAGAGCAAACGGCAGACTCGTATCAATAGAGGAAATTTAAAATGTGGCTCTGAGAGATCGTTGAGTCACCCTCAGAGCTACTTCAGGCCAGGCAACCTCCCCTGTTTGCAGGAGGAGTGGTACGGTCCATGTTGCCTAGGTGAGTTGACACTGCTTAGTGGGATAGGCCATATCAGCAGAGCCCATTGTTTTCAGGGGCTTTGGCTACTCCAGCGAGCACAGAGTGGGTGCTCCTGTCTGCTTTTCTTTCCCTCTCTGGACATGTTTGGATTTTAGAAGATAAAGAGAAGATTTTCACTCCGAGGTACTTCCCTTTCTCTCCCCACCTCTGTCTCCGTTTTTCTTTTTCTGTTTCATCTGATTCAATCATTTGGTTTTCCTGACAGCTGGGATTAGATCAGGAAGCTGTGAATGACTTAGAGATAACGGCCGTTTTTTTGTCCGTCTAGATGACACTTAAAGGTCGGGAGGCCCAAAGAATCAGCTGTAAATTTAGCAAGAAAGCCTGACAGACTGCTGTTTTAATGTCTTGAGGATTTATCTGGGGGTGGATGGCAGCGTTAGTGCAGGTAAACTGAAATCAAACCAAATCTTATTTTTCTGTGTTTAACTGATTCTTTAGCCTCAGCAGAGGTGCTCAGTGTGAGTGTTTTTGTGAAAGAAGTGTTTTCAGAGGTCCTCTCATTGATTCACATAATGAGCAACAAGTGTTTTTTTGAACCTTTGCTCAACAGTATAGCTATCAGAAGCCATTTACAGGAAATATTACCGGCATTTTTGGCTGAAAGCAAGAGACATTTCAGACTTCAAAGCATGTAGAGCAGGCATCTCAAACTCGAATTGAAAGCCCCCAAAACTCTTCTTATGAACCCTTTGCACATATTTGCTGGCACTTTTGACCTTTGCCATTATTTGGCGACACACAAAACCTTTTCAAAATTATTATAATTTTATGTGAACAGGTAGTTTAAATCAGTGGTTCCTGACCTTTTTCCTTAAGGGACCCCTTTTCTATCATTGAATAAAAACTGACGACTCCTGACTGAGTGACATATTTTATAGATATTTCATGTTATTTTCAACAATAACAGTAGAGAACAACTGATATACTGTACAGTGAACCCAATAACTGCAGGAAGTTTGCGTAAAACAAGAGATTTTGATGAATGTTTAGCAGATTATTTCATATCAATATTAATCAGAAAGGAGTTTTTCTTATATTTATAGAAACTTTTATATAATTCTTTGTATTATGTATTTTCTTTTAATCATTTTCAACAATCATACAGAATTAATAGGCTTCTTTTTTTTGACAGATTCAGTGTTTTCAGGGCGAGGTTTATACGTCATCAAAGTTTAAGTTCAAAAATGTATTTAATTTTCTTCACAGAAAGAAGTTTTCTTACACCCCTTAAAATCAAATCTGTCCTGTATTGTCAAAAACAAAGAAATTTGCGTGAATAACAGACTGTTGTGATGAAGTGGACAAGGCCTGATATCAGTACAGATTTGTTAGAGTGTAGCCAGATGTTCCAGCTGTTGCTCATCTTTGGGTTTGCATTGTGTCAAAGTTTTCCCCCTGTTTTATTCTTTGTTGCTGGTGCAGGCAGTGACACACCGATAAGCCCAGCTGTGATGACGCTGGCACTTTCTATTGTGTCGACATGTGTTTAGAGCTCAGCGGGGCGAGATCGGCCCCGCGGGCTGGGCTGCCGCTGCTGCCGGCCGTTTGGGCTCCAGCGCCAGCAAGCTGGTTGAATCAGCAAGATGTGTCACCAGCAGTGAGCTGTCTGACAGGAGCTGGGAATGAAAAGGCGAGGGAGAGATAGATGATGGTTACAGTCATTACAGCAGAGTGGTAGTGAACTGCTTTTGTTAAATGATAAACATCACCAGACTCACCATCTAAATGTCTCACTGCAAAATACAGAGAATGTCGTTGGGCAGCCCTTGACAACGGGGGCATGTCCAGACTTTTTTGACTCTTGTGGCTTGAAGTATGCTTTCCAGTCATTCCCAATTTATGTAATTCCAAAACTGTTTAGGGACCCCAGTGTGCAGAAATAACATATTTATACCACATGCAAAAAAACTGCATTTCCAAAAATAAATGTACCACTAGTTTGAGTTTTAAACTCTTAAGAGGTTGCAGCCTCTCCTCCCCAGGGGAGGAGTTTCTTCATGCCGGATTCATCTCTCAGTATCTGCCTCCCTCCTCCTCCTCCTCAGCGTGACATTGGCTGGTATCTCTCAAAACAGACGTGGGCCCAGGTCAAACATTCCTGTTTGTGCTATGTTTCCTGACAAGGAAACTGAAGCAGATCTTCAACAGAAAAAGAAGGTTGTGAAATACGGAGTCGTGATAGAATGCACGGCTAACAGTAGTGTCAGATATCAGGCTGATAGCAGGCTAAAGCAAATTTCCCCATTATCAAAATCTGACAGTCTTAAAGATAATAAGTTTAAAAGATAATATTTCCCAGAAAGCTATTTATATCTAGGTTTAGATTATTATTTAAGATAAACTTTGAAAACATGAACACAGTCTATATCCACAGAGCCTTCAGTCTCCTCGTCCTGCAGTAGAAAACAACCAAAGAACAGATGGACAATGAGACTAAAACTCAAAAAAGCAGCCAATAGTATGTATTATTGTTGAACAATAAAACAATAATACATACAGTAATGCAGACATTGGATTCCCCTAAAAATATCCAAAAACTCTGTCCACATTGCTCCGTTTACACAAACTTGGGTTCATTGTAGTTTATCAGTTGTTGCTGTACTGTTATTCATTGATTATAATATGAGATATCCATAAAATATGTCACTGAATCAGGAGTCGTCAGTTTACTATGATAGAAAAGGAAAAAGGTTGGTTCCCAAATGCTTATGCAACACTGTTTATGGACCCCAGTATGCAGAAATATTCAAATACACTTGGCGAAAATGAAATGACTCATTTGTACTACATGCAAAATGGGGTCAGTATAAAGTGTTTTCATTCACATATCTTGAGGTCAGAGGTCAAGGGATCCCTTTAAAATTGTTTTTCCATCACCAAAATGTCGCCTAACTTTGGAACTTTGGAGCGTTATTTATCCCACTTTCAACATGCTAGCATGACGTGTGTGTGTTAGGTCATCTAGTTTCATAATATCATAATAAATAAATAAATAATAATATCATAGCAGCATCTTCTTCACTGTAGCTCTAGATTTCAGGGGTGGCCACCCCCCAATAAAACTGTTGGCTCAGGAACAGCCAGTTCCAGTTTTGAATCCTTCTACCTTGTGAAACTTTTGTGTCGCATATGTCCCGTTGAATCTACCTACCCAGCAGCCCCGGTGGCTCTGCCACTTGCAGTGCAAACACTAGATTATGCCGACAATAACTCCTCCCCCTTGTCTCAAATCCCCCTTTATAATCCCCCAAGGAAATCTCCCCCGCAGCACAAGGTGGAGTGTGTTTGTGTGTTCATATTGGGAGGAGGAGGAGGAGGAGGGAGCCGGCCGAACAGATTCCTCATCTCAGTCAGACTGGTGGGAGTGCGTGTTTGTTCCTGTGCATAAGTGTTTTTGAGGGAGTCAGCTGTGGAAGAGTGCAGTGGAAGTGTCCTTTTTGAGCTCAAAGAGAGACAAACAAAAGCCAAAAGTACCACAAGTAGTTGGTAAGTCTCCATGTTTTGTTGTCATGTTGTTGCTCCGTTTCACTTCATTCATTAAGAGACACCCAGGCAAGTTGGTTTTAACATAAATCTGCTTATAAAGTCATTTTTGTCAACCTTTTTCTGAAAGCTTGTTTCAGGTATTTGTAGTTTCAGGCTGAAATGTTCTTACGGTAGCAGCAGGTTATTTCACTTGTGTTATAAAATAAGGTTTTATTACTTAATTATAGACAGAAATGACTTGATAAGATAATGTTTTTTGCTCATAAATAGTTACATTTTTCTGAATCACAAGCTGTTTAATTCAAATATTAATAACCCCTGCAAGGATTTGTCATCTCTTAATGCTTTTTAAATGTATATGAAACTTTTTTTTAAAAGCAGAAAGTCATATTTTTCTCTCAGCTAAACTGCTTTATATTTTTTTTACTGCACTTCTTCAACTTTATTTAATACTCTTGATGACGGCAGTACTAGCAGCCAACTGGGTCAGCTGTGTTTCAGTTTCATGTTCTTGAGTGAACTCGCCTCGGTCTGGCTCGTATATCCTGGGAAGACCGGTGGCGTCTCCTCCCTTCTGCAATATCTGTGGCAGACCAGCTGTATCCCCCTGACAATAGACCTTCAGCGCTTTAGAAAAAGAGACATTTGCATTTCTATTGTGTCTGTTTGGAAACACAACTCTCATTTGTGTGTCGCACTGGGCAGAGGGGAGGAAGGTTTCTAAGTTAAACGTACAGACGTAAGACCTTTATTAACCACATTAAACACTTAATTTACATGTATCATAGTCTCCATCATTTCCTAAAGGAAATGATATGAAGTTGTAAATTCATGGGAAGAATCAGGATCAGAATTAGATTTATTGCTTTATAAGTTTTTACAACGAGGAATTTGTCTTGGTGCATAAAATATACAAATCACACAAAAATCATACAAAAGATAAAGTACTTTTCATCATCGTCTTTGGCACGTTGAACTTCCTCAGCTGTACATCCTCTGCTTGGCTTTCTTGGTGAGGTCCTGGGTAATGATGGTACCCAGGAAGTGGAAGGACTCCACAGAGTCAACTGGGGAGTCACACAGGATGATGGGGGTGAGTGGGGCTGGGTTCTTCCTGAAGTCCACAACCAAGAATCTAATTCTGTGAAAAATGTTTCGTATTTTGCGAGTAATTAAAGGGAAAACTATTACCTCCAATCAATTGCAGTTAGTGAGTGTTATAGTGGTGGCAGGTCAGGTGAGCATGCGGTCCAAAAGAAGCTAACATTGTGAAACAGATAATGAATACATAGGCACTCAGGTTTAAATGGAGTTTTGATTTCCCATTTGATTCCCAGAGAAGATTCCTCTTATTCTTGAACACCGGGGCCCGTCGCACTCTGCCCACTGCTTCATTGTGATCTCCTTTATGACTTTTTGACACCTTTAAACTTGGATCATATTCTAATTTATTAGACTTAGACTTAGACTTAATTACAATAATAATATACAAATCAGGAAAAACAGTAAGGTTTGGTACCAAATATCTCGACTGTCCCCTGAGGGATTATACGCAACAGTAAAGAAATCAGAGCCAGGTGAAGTATTGTTAGAAAGTCAGAAAGAAGGCGTCACACTTTCTTTATTTCACTGCAGGGACGGGGAGACTCTGAGACTCCTGGGAGATGGCTAATATAGATGTCCCACTTGAAGTGAGGGTATGGCCTCCCTGCATTCCTCTGCTGAAAGAATGCAGCGTCTCCGTCACAGCCTGCCAGGGTTAAAGTTTCAGTCAGGGCGACTGAAGTCTCGTTTGGCTGAGATATTTCACTTGGGTCTGACATTTGAACTTGGAAAACATTCTCCCCCAAACTATCAAATTTTAAAGGAAACAGTATTAAAAAATATTCGAGTCAGTCTGCCAAATTTAAGCTGCAAAATAAAACTTATGGAGGAGTGGAAGGTTGTTGATGGGACACAACCTGCAGATCCGTCTTACATCCATCAAATTTTTCTAAAAGCTAAGCAGCTAACCTCCGTCTGGGCCATATGGCTGTGACAGATCTGTCTCCCTCTCCTGTTGTTAGAGGCCTTCACATTAAGATAGTGGTCCACCCAACAGCAATAGGAAGTCTCCTTGTGCTCGGCATCATTCTGGGTGAAAGTCCGCTCCATAAATTGGTCCAAAATACACTGATTGTCTTAACGAGGCATCCCTTGTACCCCCTGACAAGTCAAAACATTTTTGGTAAGATTGTACTGTATGAGGAGTAGAGGTTTAAGTGCTGTAATTGTAGCCTTGTGGTAGTATTTCAGGCTTACAATCAGGCAGTTTTGGTGCACACTGATGGCAGAGCTGGCGCACCATGTACTAAAGTCCTTCCTGCAGCAGCCACGGGTTTGAGTCTGACCTGTGGCCGTTTGCTGTGTGTCATCCCCTCTCTCTTTCCCCTTTCCTGTCACTCTACAGCTGTCACTATTGAATAAAGGCAATAAATATCCCAATGCTAGCCTTCTCTAGTTTCCTATTTCTGCTTTGTTTGATGCCCTCCTTTTCCTTTCTCTCCCCCCATCACTCACTGCCCGTCAGGGCTATAACGGTTGATGTTGTATCACCGCGCACAATGCCGTCAGAAACCGAGGTGCATGTGGCGAGGAGCTTTCTCACCAAGATTTTGCGAAGTTCTATGAGGTACCTTTAGCCAGCCACGTCCTGTTGTGTTTGCTGGTAGTTTTTGGTGGTCACTGAGTTTTACATTGTGCTTTGTGTTCCTTTTATTACCCCGTGTGGTGCTAGTTGTCCAAACCAAATATTATTTTAGTTGTAATTTGTGCATTTGTGTTTGTTATTTTTGTCCTAAAAGTTCCGCTGCCTCATGTGTTATTATTTGGTTTTGTCACGTTTATATGTCATGAAGTTACAATGTTTGTTTTTTTTAAATTAGGATGTATGATCTATTCACCACGTGTAATTCTTTTCTTTGTCAACATGCTCTCCAGGAGAAACCGCTTCAGGCAAGGGTATGTGCAAGTTTGGTGTGAGCAAAGTGAAAAGTACAGTAATGTACAGTTTCTTTCTTGGGTGGTTACCAAGGTTTGGATCATATAAGAACTCAAATATCTAGAAAAATATTTTATAAATCCCAATACATTAGGGCTGCCCCTGACTAAAAATGTTCCCAGTCGACGATTAGTCGTTAGATAAAACCAATAGTCAACTAGTCGTTGCACGTTTGTAATATTATTTAATTATTTAAATATACATTTTTGAATAACTTCCTGTTAAACAGAAAAAGCAGTAATGATTCTGAATGTCTCAGAACAACCAGCAAGGAGATTAAACATTTTGTTTATTTATTTCAACACAGTATAACATCACATAAGTCTCGTTGTTCAAAACGTGGAAAAACTTCCAACTTCACTAAAACAAATACTTGCAGACTTCATCCTTTTCACGCCTCTCCTGTCGCTGCTTGAACCCTATGTGTCTTCATCCCCAAAATCAGTCCTGGACGGAGCCGCTTTAAATCAGCCAGCCAGTTTATTCGCTCATTCCAGCCCCTGCAGGGTCCCTCTGCTCCTATACTAGTAGTGTTTAAACTCCCCAGTCCGGTTACAGACAGCTAACAGTACCACTAACTAGTTAATAGCAGCTAGTACAGTTGGCACGTGCAACAGTGCACCAGTAAGAGACTTCCTGTGTTACAAGAGAAAAGGTCCATGTTGCAACAATCCTCTGATACTTTAATCCCGGACAAAAGACGCAGCTCCTGAACGAAGTTTGAGGTTGTTTTTGTTTTTCTGTGACTTTCTGCGAAAAGTGGGTCGACTAAGACTCTTCTCAGTGACTGACAGTTAAGTCGACTATTGGGGGGCAACCCTACAATACACACATGAATGCAAGTCCAGTTCACAGTCCTGATGCCGAACCTCTGATGGCACATACAGTACTGAACACCAAACCGGATACAAATCCTGTAATGAAATTTAACATATAAAAAGGTGAAGCATTCTCAAACACATCCATACTCAGAGACTTGAAGGAGATTGTCATTCATGTTTGGATCCTTATTGATAAATGATTTTGGGATCTCACTCCTGATCTGCAAACGCTTTGGTTGTTTGGAGATTTAATCTGCTGGGCAAACAACCTAATGTTAAACTGTTGTACCTGACTGTACAAAATCCGGGATCTGACGTAAAATAATCTTAAATGTCAAATACACCCTTGTGATTGAGTGTTTTGTTGCAGGAAGAATGATCCAGGCTCGCGGCCCCATTCCTGGCACTCCTCCAAGCTGACAGAAGAGGAGTCAGAGCCCGCCAAGAGAGAGGCCACCCCAGCATCAGTCTGGCAGCCAAAACATGAAGCAAGGTGAGCCTTTTTGGTTCTCTTTTAGCTTCTCTGTGCATTAAATAGGGCAGAAAATATATGTATTAATTTGTTAGCCACAAGCCTGATCAGATGGCCTAATCACTTCTCAAGTATAAAGTAACAAAGGTAGCATTATGACTTAGCATCACAGCATAAATTTTTTTCCTGATGTTTCACACCAGGCCCAAAGAGTCATCCACTCAAGGGGACAGCAAGCATCAGCTAACCAGCCAGTTGAGCTCAGTGAACAACATGGAGAGACTGGAACGTCCTTCTCATCCCTACCCACCAGGTCGTCTTTCACCAACCAAATACATCAGCAGCACTGAGCCGCTCTGTGGACCAGGAGGCAGAAAAGACTCCGGGTTGAGCTGTTTCTCCAGTGGCTCCAGCCCTCCTGTTCATGACTCCAGCACATCTGGAAGGAAGGGTACCAGCACCGAAAACATTTTCTTCAAGGGCCTTCAGAGTGAAGGGCCGCAGCAGGCCGAGCGGCCCAGGTACCTGCAGCCAACACTGGGGAACGGAGGCTGGGAGGGGTCAAGGGCCGAAGAACAGCCTGCCTCTCGGGTGTCCATTTCAGGGAGACCCAGCGTCGGCCCAGTGTGGCAGGTACCAGAGAAAAAGAAGTCCCAGTCTCCTCCTCCCCCACCTCCTCCCTTGCGCAGTGACAGTTTTGCTGCCGCAAAGGTGTTCCCTTACTCTGAAGGGCCTAATGGTCCAGCAAAGTGCAAAGGAAGGTCATTTGAAAAACTGACAGAAAATAATGATCTGAATGGCCTCAGATCTCACCAGGAGAAAACCTCAGAGGCCAGACACAGCTTCAACCCCATGGCCACCAAAGACTTCCTCCATCCCAACATGGCAGCTGACCACAACCACAACCAGCTGCACCCCAACAAACTCTTCTCCCTGTCCAGCAATGATGTCAGACAGTCTCATTACACCCAACTACCTGCCCACCAGAGGCAATACAGTGATGAAAGCCCCCTCTACCTGCAAGCCAGGTCAGCTCCTCCCACCAAGATACAGAGTGTGGGAAGCTACTATCGCAGCCTTCAGGATCTGCCCACAAACACCTTCAGCCGCAAACAGGTCCGGCACTCCACAACGTCTGTGGCAAGTTCTGTCGCAAACCCAAACCTGGATAATGAGGGTAACAACAGATACTATGGCCTGGCAAGCAAGCATTCGGTTCAGAATACTGAGCTTCAGGCCAGGCAGGGCAAAGCAGAGGGACGGAGGGGGGAAACAGAGAAACTCCACTGGGTAAACAGCAATGACCCAAGTTCCTTGAAGACCAACATTAAGGCAAAGTACTTCCTACCTCAGTTCCAGATGCCTCACAGTGAAAATAAGGAACGCAATAGCCAGTCCCATCTGGGGAATGGTCTACATCATGACAACCAAACCTCTGAACTTTCTGTTCGAAGCTGCAGCCCAGAGGAAACTGCAAAGAGAGGGGAAGGACACTCTAATGACATGAAAAGACACTTCCTAACACATCAAAGTAATGATCATAAGGTCAGTCTCGCACGGCACCAAGACCCATGGGTGCCTCAAGAAGATCACAGGATATCCCCCCTGAAAACCCCACTTCTCCACTCCCTGGCCCAGGAGAGTAGGACCCTGTCTGAGAGGCAACCAGCAACTATGACAACGGGTGTCATGTCGACCCAGGAGGCCAGTGACATAATGTCTGCCGGCAGCGGAAAATCAAATCGGCGTAGCGACCGTTATGCTACCTCCCTCCGCAATGAGATCCAGCAGAAGAGAGCCCAGCTGCAAAAGAGCCGCAGTGCTGCAACCCTGACATGTGAGGCAGAAGATGAGGAAGCAGAGGAGTGGAGATCTACAAAGACTTCTACGTCTTCTGGTGGATCCTTCTCCAACACCTACAAGGACCACCTGAAAGAGGCGCAGGCAAGGGTCCTCCAGGCCACCTCCTTCCAAAGACGAGACCTTGAGCCTCTTGGGCCAGAGGCGCCAGTAGTTAAAACCTCCAATGGACGCATTAGAGGTCGTAAGCGCTTCCCCCTGGCCAAGAGGACACACTCCTTCTCAGAGCCTGACAAGATAGATAAAGTGGGAGTGGAGGGAGAACCTCAGACAGGGTCTTTCGGAGAGCGGAGGAAGTTCTTTGAAGCCAAACCGGCATTTTCCAGGCCTGTGCGGAAGTCCAGTCAGGGTAAAAATTTTAATGCAGACCTTGGTGAGACAGACAAACCCAAAGAGAGAACTCCCACTGGAGATGCTGAGGAGGCTCACCCATCCGCAGACCCCAACGACCTTAGCCATGGACATAAGCAGGTCTTACTAGAGCAGCAGAGGCTTGGGACCTTCGCTGAGTACCAGGCCACGTGGAACAAACAGAAGAAGTCATCAGAGGCCAAGGCGCAGGGGAGGTATCACTCAGCGGAGAACATCTTGGATGCAGATGCTGAGGAGAAGGCTGTGTGCATCCACGAAAGATCCCGATCTTCTCCCTCTGCAGACTTTTATACACAGGTGAGAAGCCCAGAAAATAAATAAATATATATATTTATTTTTGTATGTATCCAAACAGAGGCAGATGACCTACCGAGTCTGTTTGAGTACCTATTTGACAAGATTTATTCCAACATGGGGCTTAGTAATGATAAATGGCATTAACATAAGTGAAGAGGCCGTTTACCTTTCTTTTGCAGAACATTCCTTCCCCATGGAGAGACCCTCACAGCCAGCAGAGCAGTTACACCACCAGGTGAGAGAGGTTTACAGTGTTTGTACATATATAACACAAGACACTACAATTTTCACAGTCTGACTGTCAATACAACATCTATATAATCAATAGATACAGTGTATTCTGATCAACATAATCCATAAAGATACAATGTATTCTGATCAATATAATCCATTAAGATAGTGTATTCTGTACAAAATTAAAATAATGTGTAATATGTTTTATAATAATATAAAAAAGGCAAAACGGGCAATTGAATAAACAAAAAAGGAATTCCCTATGCATGTATTACTTTCTATGTCCAGTAAGTGTCTTGCCAAAGGGTTCAGTATAATAAATATCTAATAACCTGAAAGGGAGTAGGATGGCACAGTATTTGCCATCGCTGCACTGTCCAAGGTGTCCATCAGAACGCCTCACTGCTCCCTCTAACCTGTCGATTGCTCTGCAACATCCGCCAAAAAGAAATTCCTGTGAAGTTTCATGCAAACGTGGAATGTATTAGAACAGTGACATTTCAGGGCACAGTGAGAAAACGTCTCAGTTTCTCATTTCAGGTTTCCTGAACAGAAAGGAAAATATCATTTTCTGTCATACTAGATCTCTTCTCAACCTTATCTCATGTTGTTGGAGCTCATGTTGTTGTGAACAGTGTCTCTTGGACTCCTGTAACAAACTACACCCAGATTTACAAAAGTGTCTGTGCAATTACAGGTGATTTACAGCGGGTGGAGAGTGTATCATTTTATCCTTATCATGATCACATTTGTGGCTAAATACTGAAATGAATCCACATTATTGCCTCCTTGTTCACATGCTGCCTTGTGTGCAAGGTGGGACATAAACACCTTTCAAGAAATCCAACATTCAACCACAAGTGTCAACAAACCTTACACTAAATTGTCTTAACTGATGTGTTGCTCGAATTCCATCTTTCTAGTGTTACATGCACCTTTTTAGTGGGTGGTGTTTAAATAAGATGAAATTCCAACCACTGAGGGGATTTGTGCAGGCTTTTTAGGATGATTGAAGGACTGAATTTCACCCTAAAAACTAAATGTTTAAATAAACAATACTTTGTTAAAGTTTGGATTAAAACAGGGACATTTCTGGTCTAGTTCTTCAGTTTATTTTAAACATTTAAGGCCACCCATATAATTTTATCCTGGAAACAATTCTGAAACTTCCAAACTAATTTGACCAATCACAGATCTTCTAGTGATTTTATTCTCACATCTTGTCCTCGAGTTTTCAAAAACATTTCAACTTCTTTTTTTTTTTTTACAAATTTGACATTTTAACACGATTTGAATAAAGAATTAAACAAAATTCTTTTGAAAATGTAAATGTTTTATTGCAATTTGATGAATTACACCAAAAATCTAACTATTGTTTGTAGTTGTCACTTTCTTTAATTGATGAATAATTGATTTTTTTTTTTATTTTTGCAATTTTTACTTTTAGCAACAATTTTTATTTCCCCTGCAAAAAAATCCTAAAAATATCACAACATGCGTCGCAATCTTTGAAAAAAACTGCCATGAAATCAAGCATTTAGGCTGCATTACCTGTTGCACCTATGCCTATATAAGTCCCCCCCCCGATGATACATTGCCACCTGTGGTAAAGGCCACATGGGCCACAAATATAAACAGACTAAATAATGGCACCTACACACAGACTTACATCCTAAACAAAGCTATGAAAACTACACCTAGGGGTAGGGTCATTTTATGGAACAATTTTAAACAGAGTTGTTGTTGGTTTTAACAGTTTGACCTCCTTTGTTTGGTAAAATTACACTCTTCCCTCAGGTACTGATGAAGTTTGTCTTTATTTTGACCTCCAGAAGAAAAACTGAGAGCAGGCTGCGATACCAGCCCGACCACAGCCCACAGCCGGCCCCGTCAGTCCCCAGAAACGAGGCCCCACTCCCAGGCCTCACCGACCACAGGACCAAACCAGACTCTGCCAATCCCTCCCACACCACACACTCCTTGGGCCCTCGCAGCCTCAGCCCTAACCCTGGCTCCCAGCTTCCACAAACCAAGGGCCTCCTGCCGCCGCCCAGGCCCCATTTAGGCCCAGAAACCACATCCTCCTCCCAGGAATTCCTCGCTGGCGCCCAGGCAAACCCGGCAGTGCTCCAGCCTCTGTCCAGCTGTAGCTCTGACACCCAGCACCAGGCACAGAACTCCTCCGCCAGCCCGGCCCCAGCCCCGGCCAGCTCCCCTCACCTCAGCAGGACGTCCGGAGCGGACACGAGCGGAGGAGGTGTAGAAAACGAGGAGGAAAAGGATCAACTGCAGCCACCTTCTTCTTCATCCCTGTTCTCCTCCTGGACAGGCGCTTTGTCTCTTCCCACAGATCGGGCACGCTCTCCCTCGCCACAGTTTGCACCACTGAGACTGACAGACAAACCACCGGCAGTGTTCATGCCGGATGACTCACCGCTCAGGTAAGCAGCTTAGCCAAAGGGCTCCAGGTCTCCTCGCTGTAAAGCTTGTCCCTTCTGTTCTAGCATAGGAGGCTTTGAATAACAACCTCTGGTAAACAAGTTCACTGAATAAAGATGGAAGGAAAGTCAGACAGCGATAAACAAAACTGAGTGTAGAAAGAAAAAGTGATGATTGTGCTCAAATGTCAGATTTTAAATAACACACAAAATGGCACAAATGACAAAAAACTTGTGCTTGTAGTCGATTTCCCCTGCCGCCTGAGACAAATCGAACTGCAGGCTGTAATTTTGTTAAAGTCACATGGCTGCAGTGACCTTTGCAGTCCTACCATCCGTCCTTTAATTAGAAACGGTCGACTGTGAAGCTCTGATGTTTTTTAAAACATGCGTTTCCACATGAGGATTTAAACTTTCGACTGAAGTTGTGATGTTTTGTTGAGGGTAGGATGAAGAAGACATAATCTCTAGCTTTGCAGTATGATCGGGAGCCAGAAAAGTTCAAATCTTTGCATTATTTTTTGCATCTGCTTTGCTATTTGGCATAAAAATAAACTGCTAGAAAAAATTTAATCAATGAATTAGTGTGAGAATAATCTAAATTATAAAACATCACCTTTCCTCTCTCTTTTTTAATCGTGGACAATTGATACAAACATTTTGAAATATAGAATAACTTGCTTTTCATATCATATTACAAGAAACTTTAACAAATGATGTGCGAAATTTACAAAATAGAACATAATAATTAGAATTCAGTGGCTGTTTGAGTGGCAGGGCCACCATGTTGCCCCCATGTCTGAAACAACAGGCTTTGACCTCGTGTGTGTTTCCTGTCCAGGTCCGAAAATGATCTGAAGCTCCTGGCAGTGATGGATGTGAACAGTCCGGCGAGGAAGGTCCCCGTGCGGATCGTCCACGCTGAGAGCAGCACGGAGCGCGAGGGCAGGGCCTACCTGTCTCAGAGTGGCGACACCTGCAGTGTCCTGGAACCGCTGCCCTGCATCCCCTCCCTGAGCGCCACGGAGCGCCCAGCCTCGTCCCTGTTCAGCGCCTACACCCGCCAGGCTGATCAGGACCAGGAGTCGGTCCCTGAGTCAAACTCGACGGGTGCTCGGTGCTCAGAGGAAGACGCCAAGCGAGAGGAGCTGGCCAGGGACATCATGGGTAAAGACAAGTCTCTGGTGGACATCTTGGACCAGAGTGGCAGGATGACCACGATGGACCTAATGGAGGGACTCTTCCCCACGGAGGAGCAGATCCTGGAGGGGGCCCTCCAGCGCAGGAGGGCCTCCTCCGGCTCCAGGCTGCCCACCTTATCCCCCAGGAGCATGGACAGGTGGGTAATTTTATCAGCACAGCGAGATCAGCCAGATAAATCTGTAACTGTAGATAATCATAAAATTACTGTTTATTTAAAGAACATTTCCTCTTTTTCCACATAAAAAGTGAAAATACATTTGAAAATCTATAATATCTTTCTTCTTTATTTACTGTTAATTTAATAGATTAAACTGGTAAATTCAAATTTAATACAGTTAATATTTGTTGTGTCATAATTATGGAAGTTTTCACAACAGAAACATTGAATAAATGTTGTTTATCAGTGTATAAGCATTGGTAGACTGTCCAAATACAGTTTTTTATCAGTGTAAACAGCAAAAATTACTGTAATTTCACAGATAATGACTTTTATTACAGTTCTATAACTTTTAAAATTCAGATTAAAATAAGGAAAATCCAATAATAACAGCACTCTGCTGTAAATTTAAGCCTGATTATTTGTATAACAGCAGTGTTCACCTGTATTTATAGCTCATTGCATTGGTTTTACAGTGTAAATATATTCAATTAAACATTAGAAAGCCAACAAATTACAGAATTTATGTCCAATTAAAGCTAAAAACTGTATTTTAATTATAGAAAATTACTGTATTTTTCCGAGTTATTTTTCTGTTTTCCACAGTGCAGAAAAAAACCCATTTAAGGCCCTTTGCTCTCAACTGAGCCGAGGGCTTGGAGTGATTGAATCCAGACTGGGGCTGAAATTTTGATTTTAGGTAACCTACCTTTCAACCTTTTTAACCTGCTCAAGTAGTTTGAGCAAGAAACCTGCAAGCTCTTCTTAAAGAGAAGTAGAAAACTGTAGAAACTTACTCTACTTAAACTTTCCCCCTTTAGTCCTTGCTTTCCCAGGATTGAATGTTTTTCAAAATAGTGAGGTAAAATACAAAAGCATATATGGATATAAATATAAAAGGAAAAAAAAACAGGGGAAAGGATTAATTAAATGATAAAAAATCAACTCAGTCTGCCTGCCCTCTGGTGGACAAATGTCTCATTACAGTTATCTCTTCCGTTCAAAACAAGAATGTCGACCTGCTCTGTAGTTTTTTTTTTGTTTTTTTTCTTTCTCTGGAGGTTGCAGAAGCAGATGGATTTTAAAATTCCCAGACTACTTTTCACTATTTCTGTGTGTGTTCTGGCTGTTGAAGGTTACAGTAATATCCCCATATGTCCCTCTTATCTTAATGGTTATGTCATTAACAAATATTGTGTAAATGATGTCAGAAGTAAGACACTGACTATGTTTATGCACAAAATATACAGTTTGTTGCCCTTATTCCAAAAAGACAGTATTTCTACAAAGTTAATGAAACATGAAAAAGAATATTCCACTAATATTCCCGTTTACATGCCGCTGTGCGACAGAGGAATTTCCCTACTTTTCAAACTGCAGTCATGTTGCTCTCGTGGTACTGCTGGAGCCGTTTGAGCCAGTTTGCCTCTTTGCATCGAAAGAGGATCTTCTCAAAGTTTTGGCTTGTTTGATCGTGTGAACACAACCCTTTCATTCATTCAGCCACCATCTTGAAAATGTTTGCATATCCAAAAATCTGTTGGTATCTAGTCTTTCATAATGTTTAAAGGTAGGCGTGTTTCTCCTACCGACCAGAAATGTGCTGCTTTTCTTTTGTGCATGCATCTGTTGGTTAGCTGGTTTGTTTACAACGCACAGAGCTGACCGTAAACAGGCAAATGCGTATTCCAAATGCTCTGCATACATGTAAAGAAGGCTCCTAAAACATGAATAATATCAGCATATCCCACGTCTTTATCTGTCATATTCTGAACAACAGTGGGAATTAGTGTGCATAGTCAGTGTTTTAGTCTCCATGCAAGAATGTAAACGGCATCAAGTTTCAGTTATAGTTTTCAAAGATTTTGACACAATGATGCAGCATCGCTTTGTTTTTTGGACTCTGGAAAAGAAAGATGTCTCAGAACCTCTGCTCAGCTGATTACTTCTGTGTGTGTGTGTGTGTGTGTGTGTGTTAGGAGGGAGGAGGAGGACGTGTCCATATCAGCAGCAGCCTCCCTGGTCCCCAGCTCCTCCTACTATAACACATCGGCTCCCAAGGCAGAGCTCCTCATCAAGATGAAGGACATGCAGGAGCAGCTGCAGGAGCAGGACTCCGAGGACGAGCTGGACGTCGACCTCGCCAGTAAAAAGGTAAAACCTGCAGATCAGTTAATCAGCCTCAATCAGTCAACGTCAGCATACACTCGAAAGAATATTCCTTCTCTGTTTGTCTTCTTCATGCTCTCCAGCAAGAGCTGATCTCCAGCCTGGCGGGGAAGCTGGAGGTGCTGCGGGAGGCCCGGCACAGCCTGCAGGAGGACGTGGAGGACAACGAGGCCCTGGGCCACGAGGTGGAGGCCACCGTGCAGCGCCTCTGTCAACCCAACCAACTCGACAAGTTCCGCATGTTTGTGGGCGACCTGGACAAGGTGGTGAGCTTGCTGCTGTCGCTGTCGGGGCGGCTCGCCCGGGTGGAGAACGCCCTCAACAGCCTGGAGGAAGAGACCCCGCCAGAGGAGAAGGTAACAGCCAGTGGGAAGATCTTTAATATGTACAGATAATGCATAAATGATTCCTGATCTATAACTGCTAATATCCACCTTTCATCAGAGAACACTGACGGAGAAGCGCAAGCTGCTGATGCGGCAGCACGAGGATGCCAAGGAGCTGAAGGAGAACCTGGACCGTCGGGAGCGGCTGGTTACTGGCATCATGGAGGCCCACCTGGACGCAGAGAGCCTGGATGACTACCGGCACTTTGTGAAGATGAAGTCGGCCCTCATCATCGAGCAGCGGAAACTAGAGGACAAGATCAAGCTGGGCGAGGAGCAGCTAAAGTGCCTGATGGACAGTCTGCCGCTGGAGCAGAGACCGCTGTTCTGACGCTGTGCACCGCAAGAAGAATCTGGTTTTGCAGGAGAAATACTGGATCAGGAATTTGGGGGACAATTTCTACGTTGGAGGGTGCTACGTCTCAGTTCATGGTCGAGACCATTTCAAGCCTCTGTTTCATGCCAGTTGTATTGTTATTGTTTCTCAAAATGAACATTTCCCATCTGGTCCTTCTCACCAAAGAACTAAGGAGCCTTAGGAACTAAATTAGGAACTGAGATTAGTCAATTAGACGGATAATTTAACCATTTTTTTTCTTTCCGACTTGTTCCATTGGTGTCGCCAAATATTCTAGTTGGTCTTAACTGAGTCCAGAAATCTATATTTCCCTAACACCATTGATGAAGCACGCTTGTTCAGAAAACGAACATGCATCCCAGTTTTTTTGGTTTTTCCATCTGTTAGTATCCCAAACTCAACTTATTGGGACTTTTAATTTTGTTTCTTGAAAAACTGGTCACGATTAACACGCGTGACTTTAGGTTGAACGTTACGTCTGCAGAAACGTCTGAAAAGTGTCGATACTGAAACGCTGATTTTAGATATTTAATTGAGCCTTGTATGAATTTGCACTTCAGCGTCCCCTTGAGGCGAAGATGGGAAAGTGAAGCGAAACACACAAACATTTGGTTGTCTCTTCATCTTACAGTGTTTCCAGTGTCCCGTTGTTATTTGTGTTTCTGAATTGTTGTATTTAAGCTGCATCATGAGCTCGCTCTCCCTTTGTGATTAATCCTCATTAAGAGTTTCTAAGTAATATTTCCTAGTAATTTATTGTAGCCTTTTTGAGAACTTCTCTGGAGAACGGGGGAAATGTTTCCTCAGTAATTTATTTTGACTCATGACGTACTTTTTGTTTTCTAATTAAATTAAATTAAGAGTTTGATTCCAAAATGCTATAAATCTGTTTTAGGGTTACAATCCAGTTCTTTAAAAAGTGTTAAGTTATCTTTCTTGCTTTTACAACACACCATCGTTTCCTCTGTGTCCTGTATTATTCCATAAGGGTAGATGTCACTTTTACATCTCATTTTGGAGTGAAACTCTTTATTAATGCTAGAATAAGAGGTGAATCTGATCATTTCATTCTCATAAAGACAATGCTGACTTGTTCCAGCAATACAGATGTTGTTCCTACTTGTTTTCTATACGATAAGACACTATTAATATTCCTTGGATTGTTTTGTGTCCTGTAACCTTACAGGTTTTCATTCACACTCCTGACTCATGTACCTTTTCTACGTTCTCACAGTAAAATGACTGAGGCACAGCTCGGGTTTCTGAACAGGTTAATCTAAAAGTTAGCACTTTAATCTTTGGTTTGGCGCATTCAGGGGACTCTCTACATAATATATTTATTTGAAGACGTGCCTACTGTAACCTCCCACCACTGTGAACCTCATGGACTGACGTGGGCGTACCCCTGGGTACTGTGTTCAGCCCATGCACACTTTATGTATGCAGTGCACTCTTTCACCAACTTTCAAAGCAATAAAATGATCAAAATTAGAGATCTAGTCTTGTGTTTTTTTTTAATATATCAAATAAGTTTTATGTTATGTTACTGAAAATATGTGATACCTCAACTAACTCACCTCAACGGTGAATCTAATAATGTTCATTCAAGTAAAACCTTCAAGTTGCCTCCTTTTGGAAGAAGTGGAAAAGAGGAAATTACGTCATATGTCCTTTCCTAAACACTTTTCCTTGACCACAGTGGAAAATGTCGTTGTCTAATTACAATCACTTGTGTAACAACGGTGTGGCCTATCTAATGGTGTATTCCATTTACTTCTGAAGTCTAAAGTCAAGCCAAGTTAGCCATTAGCCATTATTAGCAATATCAGCTGATAATAGCACATTACCCTGTAATTTAATTTTATTACGTTTAATTTTTAATTAACTTATCTGGTTTTACAGTGTATGATTGTTGATCTTAAAGAAAGAGGCTAAATAAATAAGAAATACAAACAGAGCCAGAGCATAACTGTGTGTTATTCTGTGAAAAAGTCCTAAAAGCAATTTTATTTGCATTCATCACTGCATAATTCGTCACAAATAGACTTAATTATTAATTAGATAATTTTTCAGTTATGATTGGACAAAATGCTGATTTACATTGATGTCTTTAAATGTCCACAGTTTAAAATGATCAGAAAATACTAATTAGGTCTTACATGAAACAACACTTTGAGCTTTATGGTCTGTTTAAGAGGACTTTCTGCCCTGGCTGGAATTAATTGATCATATTTGAAGTCAGGTCAGTCAGGGTGTACACTCTCAGTATCAGACTGGTCCTATGTTGTGACCTTTGAAACAGCCAAAAGTACTTAGTGTTTATACTGTTTGCTTAGGTGGGGCAGGGTTGGCACGGAGAGAGACAGGTGGGGGAAGATAAAGGCATTCGGTTCAGGAGAATGTCAAATCTTCATTTTATGACTTGTCATTAAGTCTTTTATATTTAATCCAAGTTTTCTGTTTACAGTCTCTGGTGACGTATTTTCATTTGTTGCTCAACTCAGTGAAACAGTAAAGTATCATCCCACATGTTCATGCACTCGCCACCATTTCGAACTTTAGCTGCACCTTTTTGAAAAAGCATCAGGATTTTGGGTATAATGTTGTTTTAGGAGATAAAATCAATTCCAGTATATATTTACATTACTTTGGTTTCAAGTAATACTTTAAAAATAGTGATAAATAAAAAGAAATTGAGTATCCCAACACTGCAGATGATGTTTAACACATGATTGAAAAAGGAAGCTGAATGTAAGGTTTAAGGGATCGTCCTATTAGTCTGTATTGATGGATCTTAGAAAAAAGAAATAGGCTCTCAGACGGGAGCAGCACCTTACTGTCTATCAGAGCCAGCTATATACTGTCAATCATTTACAGTCTTGTGGCATGATGGGAAACTATAACTAGGTTATTGGAGGTGAGATGAGGAAGTGCTTTGTTGCGTCTGTGAATTTAAAAAGAAGCTTTCCTGCTCAGGGCTTTCAGAGTTTGAAGACAGCTGATGACAAAACAGCACTCAGGTAGGAGACAAACTGAGGAGTTCTAGTTCCACAATGGATTGACTGCTCAGCGTAGGTGTCAGTTTTATCCTCTTTGAATTGTGTGAGTTCATTTGCAGAAGCTTTTTCTGTCTATTTAGAACAACAGAAAGATAATTCGGATTTACATTTCTATGTCTGAAACGATGAAGCTGAAGAGTTACCTGATGTTTTTCAACCAGGTTTTCTCATTGTCATCACAGATTGTTAGAAAATAATACTGATGAGCATAATTCCTTATTCTGTGTTTTATTTCTGCTTATGCTGCGTTCAGTCGATGAATAATAACAGTAAGATACTTTAATAATAATATTTAATTTCAACATAAAACATTTGATTTGTATTTTAATATATGAAAGTTAGCCTGGTTTCACTAACATTGAAACACAGTCTAAAACAGGGGTCCTCGAGTGGGTTGTAGGGGGTCCCCAGCAAAAGGAGGAATAGAATATTTTAACTTTTATCACATTTTTTTGGAAGTTGGAACAACAAGACTTTATTGTCTTCAAAAAAATAACCAAAACCTTTAATTTAACCCAACAGATCCATATTTGTTTGGCTGTTTAGCAGCTTAGCAACTCTCATACTTTTTATGAAAATCAAACAGCAGAAGGTGAAAAGCAAATATGGACATTCTGCACATTCGATCAACATCATTTAAACCAAACATCATAAATCTCACTCATGATCTAATTTTGGGGGATTCGAGTGAAAATGAGCTTTTCAGATACAACAAACAGCACAGAATTACTGCGACACTCCAAAATGGTCACCTTTGATACACACCATCTCTGTGTATTCATATGACACCAATAAACAAAACATTTATCCTATTCCTATTATTTTAGGACATCTGGGCTCGGCTCTACATTGTCCACTTTCACCAGTCTAAGCTGTATTTTGTTGTTTGCGGTCAGTATTAGCACTGAAGACAACATGGTGTAGTAATGTTTAGTTTATTAGCTTTTTACCATGCCATGACTAACATCAAAGATTTGATTTCATGTTCTATTATTGTCTATTGAGCTCGTCCAGTCCAATGACGGCACATCAACTCACTATTGAGAATATCTGATCTCTTTTTTTGTGTTAGTTTATTTAGCAGGGACAGTTGAGGGCCAACAGAAGAGGAATCCAAAGCATTGCTCTTTTGTCTTCTGTGCTGCTACACTGAAGAGCTCATTAACACCTGTGCCTGTGTTTCCGTCCCCTCAGAGGGAGCTGCAGGTGCTTGTTTGCCAGGTAACCCAGGTGAAAAGGAAGAAGAAAACACCCCGCAGGGAGAGTAAAACCCAGCGAGAGGGTGAACGAGCAGCAGCCACAGAGATCTCGCTCTCCTCCTGGATATGTTAACACACCTTCCACCTGGCTGTGATCTCCTGAAGATGCCCGGTGCAGGTGCGATCTGGACTTCCTAGGTAACTTCTCCACTGCTATGACCTACCTGGTTCACACCGCCCACGCCCAGCTCGGCGCCCTCGGGCTGGGCTGCGTGGGCTGGACGCTCACTGCCGTGGCCCTTGGACTCATCCAGTGGAGGGTTTGGCAGGTGTCCGACAGGGAGGTCATCAGCTCGGGGGTGGCCTGGGTGGGCTTGTGGCGGGCCTGCTTCAACAGCCACACCCTGGTGACCCCTGGCTTTAGGGTCATGCACTGCAAGTACATCAGCCTGACCGAGGCCTTCACGCCGCCAGAGATCGTGGCAGGTCAGGTTCTCATGCTGCTGTCTCTGCTCGTGGGGCTGTGTGGGAACGCTGGCAGCGTTTATGCCTTGAGGAACGCCTACTTTGGGTTGGAGAAGTCCCCGCCGATCCGTTTGGTGTTCTCCACCACCGGTGCGCTGTGCCTGTTGGCCGCTGTGATGTCACTCATACCTCTCCTGTGGAACCTGAGCTCAGTGGTGACCAATCAGACCATAAAGTTCCCCCCGGAGTTTAAAATGCCCCAAGCTCCTCATTCTCAACACATGGGGGGCGGCATCGGGGTCGGGCTGCTGGGGGCCGTCCTGATGATCGTCTCTGGGATTATTTTCTGTACGTACAGGTTACCAGTGCCGTCTCTGAGAGAAGAGGTGCACCTGGACTCACCTGTGCCATCTGTGACTTTCAACCTGGGGGCTTTCACAAGCTCTGGGGGCAAAGACAACCCAGCGTTTGAGGCTCAGGAACACTTATAAATATCATCATATCTTTTTTTCCCTTGTGTAGTTTATACCTTTTCTCTTGATATACTCTATACCAGTGGTTCAATAGGACTACTACCTCTGCGTTTTGTGAGAATCCTTAAATTGTTAAGTAAATTGTGTAATAGAAAAAACATCAGAGAGAAGAAAACACTGAATTAGTCATCAGTTACTGAGTTCATTATTTGGGTTCATTGTTAAATATCCATAAAATATGTCACTTATTCAGTTTACTAAATGATAGAAAACAGGACCTTTAAGGAAAAAGGTTGGGTTAGTAGTTTTAACCTATTTTAACATGGATCTCCAGCTCACTGTTTTTATTTAAAGGTCCTCTAAAGACACGTACTAAGACACACATACAGATAGTCAGCTTGGAAGAATAATGTGTGTGTGATATGTTTTTATCTACGTTAAAATGCTTCTACCTCATTAAAGATTGTTGTGGCCTGGATGTAATGTGATCGTGTGGGAGAAGAGTATCGCATTTTGTTTCAATGTAAGCATAATGAACTGCAGATCTGCCCAAGTATATTTTAGAAACCTATGTTTGGATTGATTTTTGATTGTAATCAGATCAGCCTGAAATTATCTGTAAACTAGCGCCTTTATGAAGAATGTCCTTCCTTTGTTTAAGTAACATTTGTTGTACTTCAGCTGTGTGCTATCCTTCCATACCATCACGGTGAGTTGTAAATTAAGATTGAAAATTGCAAAAACTGTTCTGATTCTATTATTCTATTTTTTGAAAAACAAACAACAAATAGGTGGCTCAACTTTTTTAGCGGGAAACAACGATTGGTCAACTCCATGTGGATTGGTTGAATTTGCGTTTTCTAAGGTAACTAAAACACAAATATTCTTATTTTCAGGTGATTATACACTAATGAAATCATACCTATGAATATTATATTCCATCTGTGACAATAGATCCTCCTAATTGTTACACACTGGACCTTTAACATTTTTAAAATATCGACCAATATAAAGGAGTTCGGTCTAGATCTGCTCTATTTGAAAAGTGTAAGTTATATTTGAAAGTTATAAATTGGCGCTATACAAATAAAGTTGAACTGAATCGAACTAATGAAATAAAAAGAATGACAGGTAGAGCAGGAAGCAGAAGGACTCAATAAAGGATATAAAGCAGTTTTTTCTTAAATATTTTATTCAAAAAAAAGCAAAAAGCTCATCTCCACAATTTCAAACCATCTGTACCAATGTTCCTCAAATGATAAACAGTCCCTTCCCCTCACTGAGACCACAGCCCTTCCTGCCTGGGGGGGGCACCTGAGCCGCTCGCTGACGCACGAAGAAAAGATGGCAACAGTCGGTCAGGTTGAGATAATCCAATTTAGGAAATATTTTACTTTTTAAAGGTTTTCCTCCTTTTTTATTGCACACACCTCTGGGTAATCTCTGGGTAATCTCTGGGTAATCTCTGGGTAATCTCTGGGTAATCGCTGGCTTCCTTTCATTTACTGAAAGATCAATAAAGTTGCCTTTGGAACTCTTATATTTTTGGATGCTGGGACTTGTGTGGCAGTAGAGACAGCTGACATGCTTCTGAATTCATATGCAAAAGTGTCCCAGAGGTGCGGTTCAACCATCATCCACTGCACATTTAACATGACATTGAGAGTGTTAGTGAAGACTGAAACAACCAGACTCTGAACAGACTTTTCTTTGTGTGTGTGTGTGTGTGTGTGTGTGTGTGTGTATGGTTATTTCATCCTTCGGGAGTTCGAGCAATCTCTGCAATTTGGAGGATGACACGAGTTTGGGGCTGCTGATGATCTTAACCTTCTTGAGGAACTTCATACAGATTAAGAGTTTCATTCCAAACACAAAAAGAAAACTTTAAAATCAAGCGCCGACAGCACAGTATCACATTGTCACGGTTCGTAGAGGACAGCGTTTAAAATACTGTGCGACTGTCAGCGAGGAACAGAATGTTTCCATAACGGGTATATATTCAGATATATCATTACAGAATGAATCCCTCAGGTATAAATAAAAGACGACACTGGAGATACATATGGCATATCATTCAAACACACTCTAATACTGAATACAACATATACAAGTAAAGCACAATTATCATTTAAAAACGTGTTTAAAATCTCAAATATTACCAGGTCAATTATCAGAGTTTACACGGGTGCAGCTGTTTAAACATGGCACACAGAGGCTGTAAATGCAAATGATTCAAATCTACAGAAGCAAATGTTGACGAACTCCTTTTCATGACGAGTGGAGGAGTTCCAGAGTGATCCAGCTGTTTGTGTCAGAGTGAACTCTCTCTCTGCTAAATGCCCTGAACGTTACACACAGGTTACCATCAACAAACTGCCCCACGAGCAGTTTCTTTAGTCACTGCTCGTCCAACACAAATTTAAAAAGGAACAACAATCTGTTCCTGACATTATCTGCTCAGCGGACACGGCTTTGTATCAGCCTCCTCAAACTTAAAGCCCGTAAGGAGTCCATCTGTTCTCAGGCGGCTCCCCATCAACCTTTAACACGGCAGCCATTTGGACACGAGACACATTGTGATGTTACTTTAACTCACATCGAACATTTGAACACAAACTCAACTCTGGAAGTTAAAAAAGATTCTTGATTAAGCAGCTTTTACTAGTAATTTTACGTCACATTAACTTTTGTCAGTTACAGAAACGTTCCTGATTAAGTACTTTATACTTTTGTTTTCACAGTACAAATAAAAATAATAAAGCTACTTGATCAATGTAATCAGTTTCAACAATTCTTTGAATCTGTTTTTACAGCGAAACACAGGTTGTTGCCAAGGATACCACCGTAAAACGTCTAATAACACTCGTTTTATTTACTCCAATCACTGAACGCACTCCGCCTTCGAGAGGCGTTTAATTCCTTTGATTAGAAATATTATACGACACAAATCTAACCACTGTTTGACCTACAGGGAGGAACCTTAATTAGTGCTATTAGTGCCTGTGTTTATCCTACTATATCATGTTAAAAGGCTGCTGTGAAAAAGGTCTCTAGTGAGAATTTTACTTCTAATTTAAAGCCATTTGGTTCTCAGGCAGTCTGAGGTCAAATACCCACAAAAAGCTGAAGATCCGCCTGAAAGCTGAACAACAGATGATGAAGTTTTCGCTAAAAATCTACGAGATCAACAACTGTTTGGCTTCAGCCCCCTTAAATTATAGCAGGGGCTGTTGAGAGACATCTGACTGTCAGTGTTTGTTACACATTCACAGAGACTTGAACTCTTTTGGAGAGGGCTGACACAAAGCTGTACTCACTCACTGTCTGCTGATAACTGTGATATCGGAATAATTGTGATCAGATGAACGTTTTCCTTGTTTGGTGAACTATTCCTTTAATGTTCCTTGACAGCATTATTCGCCTCTGCCGACACCCCAAAAAGACAGCACAAAAGACAAAACACAAACAAGATGTTTGTCTGAGTAAATTTGGGTGTTAACACTCACGTCGAACGCTATTGCTCGGGTCAACAACACGAGCATCCCTGCACTTCAGAGACCCGCTTGTCCTTTTCCTCGTCCTTACCTCAGTCTCTTCACTACCCGCCCTTGCACATGGAAGCCCTGATAGAGTCGGTTTTGATCCAGATGGTTTGAAACGGAACAAAAAATACGTACATACAAAATAAAATACAAAATAAGAAAAGAAAAAGAAAGAAAAAAAAAAAAGATTTAGAAATGCAGGAGGTTTAATCGTTCCAAAGTCCGCCGGTCTGTTCTTGATAAACCTCGATGACGTCCTCGTCCTCCATCCCCAGCTGACACGAACACACAGCAGAGGAGAAACAGAGTCAACACTGGGAGATTCTGCTTCTTCTACTTTAACATTCAAAACACAAATACAATGTATATTTCCTCCGTATATGTATAACCACACAACAACTCTTATCTTCAGGTGATTATAAACTAATGAAAACATACCTATGAATGTTTTATTCCATTTTTTTAATAATGTATCCTCCTCAATGTTACACTCTGGACCCTTTAAGGTCATATTTCAGAGCGGTTTAGTGAACTGTTCCAGAGTTGGTTTCAACAGGTGAGATTTAAACAAAAGGACATTGGTATTGGTTCCATTGGTATTGGTGTTTTGTAGTTATTACAGCGTGATCAATACATTTCTTCCCCAAACAACACATTTAAAGCGAGACTGAAAAGTACAAACTTTATCCAGGTAACTTAACTAATCCAACCCAGACCTGTAAAATCCTATTTAATAGTTGTCTCTAATGTTGGTTCACCCTCCCCTTCCAACCACGAGAGAGAAACCACATTAAGTTTAAATATCCTCAGCAATCCTTATCGTGATCAATAAATACAGCAGAGTAATCTGGATCATCATTATATAAGAACACCTGTAAAGGACAAAGGGAGGCTCAGGTCAAGTGTACCTCTTTTGGAGTTTGGTTGTCTGCGATTCTCTGTCCTTCAAACAGAAACCGTAGCGTGCTCGCTGGGACTCCCTGCAAGAGACACACACACACACACACACACACACACACACACACACACACACACACAATGTCAAACAACGGGCTCACTCAAAGTCTATTTAAACAGGGAGGTTAATTCTGGCTGCGTAGTTTTGGGCTGGGAATCAAACGTCTGCTGGTCGTTACCTGTCTCTGGCTGTAAGACTCCTTCAGCTTCTTCAGATGTGTCGTCATTTTCACCTTAAAGTGGATTTCGCTGCTGTCCTGTGGGCCGACGGAGAGAGTGATGAAACCACTTCAGATACCGAAAGCTCACAAACAAAATGTCATTCCTGTCACCAGGGCGTCTCTCGCATCAAAACAATAACACAACAACAGGTTAGATGATGTTGTGAAGAAGCGCGGGATCATGGGAGCTGTCGATTGGTGGTGGGAATGATCGTCTGCAGCACAAACTTGAATTTTCACTGATTAAAATCATGATGATGTGACACTTTCGGGGGTAAATACTTTTTATAAATGAGACAAAAATGCATTCAGATGAACTTTTCCTTCAAATAGCACTCATTTTATTTACTATGTACACATTTTAAATACTTTATTTGTGAGCCCAATACAATCTCCTGCGACCCATGTGCTAGTCTCTGGGAATATATATTGATATATTGATATATTGATATATTGATGATGTATGTTAGGCTTACACACCTGACCAATCACTTTTAATTTAATGTACTCTCCATCCTTCTTGTCCCCTCCGTCTTGGCTGGATGGTTTTGTCTCCTGGAACAAAACAAAACAACAAATAAACAACAAGAAACAGAAAGTTGACAACATGTAAGAGCTCATCAGCAACCAGGTTAAAGAAGCACTGGGCCTGAGCTACACGAGCTAACAGTTAGCGCCCTTAAAACCTAAGACACGACAGCAGCCACAAAAACCGCCAATCAGCCTCTCGTCCCGAGCACAAAGCACACAGACTCGGTAAAGCTCGGTTCCTACCGTGTCCGACATGTCTGTGCTCCCCGGGTGTGCTGAGACAAACGGACTGACAATAGAGGGTTAGCGTTAGCTTCCAGTCGCTGCTGATGTTGTGAGGAATCAACCGGAGGAGACGGAGAAAACCTCCGGAGGTGACGTAGGGAGTAGTGCCCTTCAAAATAAGAGAGTGGATTTTGTGCGCAAAATCCCCCAAAATGTGCAAATAATAATAAAAATAATAAATATCAACAAGAAGAATTCTGATTTGACTTTTTTTTTTAACTTTAGAGGTTTTTCCACACTATCATTTAAATTCCAATAATTTCTACAAACACAACACTAATGCTCTGTTTCCAGGGGCAGCGATCCATCAATCTGTATGTTTATCTGAGACAGAGCTGCTCTTCCTCCTGCAGATGATAAACATTTATCTGAGCAAATTAAACCAACTAAAACAAGAATTACCCCAGGAGAAGGAGAAGCACTGACACGCCACAACCTGAGCTACAGCAAGTGACCTAAACACACACCCAAATAACTTCTCACTTATTTGTATTTGTGTTTGTTTGTTTTTTTTTGTCAGCAATTAAATAAATACATGGTGGCAAGATAAAACCTCTAATGTGTTCATTCAGATAAGCCTTTTAAGTTGCAAACATTATTCTAATGAGCAGTGTTGGCATAAATTAATTTACCTTGGGTTTAATCTACAGATTATTATTATAAATGTATTTATTCCAGGTTGTGTATCGATCAGATTGTATTGATTTGACAGGAAACCAATAGATATCTGTGACGTCACAGCTTGTGTTTGTGTTGGACTGTCTCAGCGAGGTTAACGTCTGTCAATGGCGCCAAAATGAACACGTTTTATTTCCGGTTGATGACTGTCAACATAAAACGCAGACCATTTAACTCAGACGGGTTGGGATTTTATTTTGAAACACTCCCGGTAAGCAACCCGTTAACTTGACCCAACGAACCCGACCGGGCAGTAAAGTGCAACTAAACGGGAGCTGCGGACCAACTTTACCGTGTGATTAGCGCGCGGACGCGGGGACACTTTGTTGGATACACCTGTATCACGTCGCTCGGTTGCCCGGGAAACAAGCAGCGGGCCCAACTGACAACCGTTGGGCAGCCGTTGGGCAGCCGTTGGGGAGCCGTTGGGCCTCGTCGTCGAGTGAAGTTAGGAGCCAAACTTCTGCTTCCTCAGCGGCTCTCCGCGGGGCCCGGGGCTCCTGTCACCGGCCCTCCGCGGGGCCCGGGGCTCCTGTCACCGGCCCTGTGGATGAGGGAGTGACTGCCATCCCAACCCGCCACCGGGTAGGACCGTAAATAAAGGTGCCTCGCGCTGTTTGTCTGTTAAATGTCCGCTGTTTTTACGGCCGCGCAGTGCGCGAGCGCTTCCAACGGCGACGCGGCTAGTTAGCATTAGCATTAGCGTTAGCATTAGCGTTAGCATTATTAGCATTAGCATTAGCTTGGTAACTTCCCCGGCCTGACAGCTAGCTCAACACGGAACTATCGCCTAGCATTAGCCACCTAGCTCCTCTTATCAGCCAGTTGTGTGGAGCTGAGCGCAGCTTTCCGTTAGATTTCCAGACGCCACATCGTCTATTAAGTGTTATTAAGTATTATTAAGTGATTATTAAGTGTTATTAAGTGTTATTAAATACGTTTTGGTGCAGTTCGTGGTGCCAGATTAGCTTAGCAACAGTTGTTAGCCGGCGGAGGCACTCAGCTAACGCTAGCAGGTGAGTGTTAACTTAAACACTGTGGACAGTTTATTGATCAATAACTCTGCAGATATCGATTGTTCTTATAACTGAGGGCTTACAGCTGCGGTCTATGGACCAGGGCTGCAGTCTGTATCCTGAAACAGAATAAATTCACTTCGTACAGCACAATAAATAACAATAACTACACTTTATAGAATAAGAGTTATAAATCTGTATACAGATGTTACGATGGATGTAGAAATATGTGTAATTACAGTGTAATTCAAAGGTAATATAGGCTATAAATATCGTAACAATGTGCACATAATATATTATATATATATATATCTTTAGAGAAGAAGAGTTTATGCCACTGATCTAATGATTAGTGTAATAATCAACCCTTTTAAACAGCAATGGACTTTAAGAATATTCAGACGTTGGAATTGAAATGTGAATAAATATAAAAATATCCACTCACTCACATCCTGACCTTGCACTTCTCCCAACATTTGACCAATCATTGTAGTTATATGTCACCAAACAACGACCTTCCCCTTTACGTAAACCAATATTGTGATTTTATTAATGCAATCTTTCCCTCCTTCCTCTTCCTCTTCCTCTTCCTTCGGTGACCGTTCACAGATCTGCTCATCAGTCAGCAGCTTCAGGCTCTAACATCAGGGTTTATGTTGTCCTTTTGCTGTTGCAGGAGAAAGGAGTCCCTTTGATGGGAGAATCCTCTTTCCTGGCCTCCTGGGTCAATCGCCGTGCCATGATGATGGGTATGTGTGTGTGTGTGTGTGTGTGTGTGTTTTAAGATAGTGTTACTGTTTGGCAGTAAGCCAGCTCCGTCTTTTGTCAAAGTTAAAACCTGAAGGAATGTTGTTGTTTTTTTTTTCACCCCGAACAATGCTCCTTTGACATCCTTGCCTCGTTATAATCTCTTGTGTTATTTGTGCCAATGTAAGTGTCGTATATAATATGTTACTACTATATATATATACTAATATGTTTAATTGTGAATAATCATGTTAATACTCAGTTTATATCAAATCAAACTGACATAATCATATTTCTCACTCAGTTTTATGTATTTGAGCTTTTTAGATGAGTTTTTGTGTTTTTCAGTGAGCTGTTTTTGTTAATTCAGAATAATGTTTGTCCAGTTAGTTTGATCAATTCTTACCAATAGATACAACCTGTTCAATAAACTGAGATCTCGTTGTTACTCAGATGAGCAGGAGGCGCTGAACTCGATCATGCAGGACCTGGCCGAACTGCACCGCTCTAGCCGTCCTGCCACGTTCCTGACGGACCTGGGCAAACCCAAAGCCTCCTCGCCCAAGAACCAGGTAACTGTGTGATCAACGTGGAACAGAAACCGGATGCTTCTACACTAAGATGTTCTGGTTCTTTCTTTGGTCCATGGACACTGTTGTGTTGATCTGATTGTGTGTCTCATGCATTAGTTTGATTTAAGAATCCGATCAATGGGGCAAACAATGCTCACCTTTCAATTCAATGTCTTTCCAACAGAACGATGTCAGAGTGAAGTTCGAGTTCAAAGGGGAAAAGAGGTGAGACTTCGACCAGGTTCGCCCCTCTAATGTTGTCAGTGCAGGCCTGTAGCCGTGCCCTCTTGACCTCTGACCCTTCTCCTCTCTGTGTAGGATCTTGCAGTTCCCTCGACCAGTCAAGCTGGACGACCTGAAGGCGAAAGCAAAAGTGGCTTTTGGTCAGACGATGGACCTTCACTACACCAACAATGAGGTATGACACTAAAGACTTCACGGGCCTGCACATTGTTAATAATGATACTGAACGCATATCTACCCCAGAGTTGTTTTTTCTCCCAGTTGGTGATTCCACTGACCACGCAGGATGACCTGGACAAGGCCGTGGAGCTGCTGGATCGCAGCGTTCACATGAAGAGCCTGAAGATCCTCCTGGTGCTCCAATTCTCCTCTCAGGTCAGCAGCCCACATTCATTCCACATCTCTATGTGGATTTTAAGTGAAAGATACAGAGAAATGTTGAGACCAGTTGTTTTTATTCTTTTGTAATGACCAGACACAATGTAATGTTTTGTTTTTGCAGAACTCTTCCTCCAATATGGACCTTCTGCCGTCCCACGAGGAGCTGGACAACACGGGATTCAGGGTCGCAGACAAGAAGAGTATGCTGGCTTTGATAGGTGAATAAAGTCTCACGGTCCAACTCCTGCACAGTTCGTTTAAATTCAGATGCACCGACATGAAGCTCAGATATTGAAATCAAAGTCAAAGTTAAGGTTATTATTTTGCCCCCCAAATGTAAAACTCAGGCTCCCATTCGACAGACCGCAGCTCGCCTCCTCCAGGATATATCCCCGACGCGCTCCAGCAGGTGGCGAGGAATGGCTCCTTCACCAGCATCAACAGCGAGGGAGAGTTCATTCCAGAGAGCATGGACCAGGTACCACCCAGGAGTGTGCTGAAATCTATCCTTTTGGATCAGTATGTTGTTTTCTTGTAACTGTTGTGGCTGGATAGTGTGTGAGTTTTTTATTTTAATTGAATTTTCTTCAGATGCTGGACCCGCTGTCCATGAGCAGTCCAGAAAACTCAGCGTCTGGAAGTTGTCCCTCTTTAGACAGCCCGCTGGACAGGTCAGGACCAGTGTTTTATTCATACTACAATGTACTTAAGGAAACATCAGATACAAGGTCAGCTTTTGTGTTTAAGATTGATTTTTATGGGATAAAAGTCATTTGATATGACATATTTGCAGATACTAAAGCGAGATTAGTTATATGTTCCTACAAAATAAAGCTCTTCTCTTAAGAGAGTCTAAAGAAAATTCTTTAGCATACAAATGTTACTTTTGTTCTGTTGTTCTATGACAAAGTGCTTCACTGTTGGAACAACACAAACAGGACATACAGATGACAGTGAAATTATACTACTAATATTTTTCTTCATATTGTAGTGACTACCCGAAGTCCAGGATGCCCCGAGCACAGAGCTACCCAGACAACCACCAGGACTTTCCAGGTAAATGTGTGAAAACATTTTAATAGCTGATAAATAAAACAGATAAAATGACTCCGTAGGCAACAAACGCATCCTGGAAATTAGAGATTCAATTTCCAGTCATGGAATAAACCAAATATCCTGGAAATAATCTACGTTCTCCTGGATGTTTAATTGTATCGCCGGGGTGCGTATTTAGTTTGAAAGGTGACGGTCGGTGGGATAAGACGTACAGTATGAAACTTTAAAGTGGGCTCCCTGCTCAGTCGAGCTGTTTACGTCAGATTTTACATTTGTTGTGTGGTTGATACATACACGTTGTTATTTGTATTTGCACTTTTACTTTCTAGAAGATGAATTTTCAGTCAAATAAAATCCATTCTACTGGATTTGAACTGTGACAAATGAATGTTGTGTTCCAGGAGAACTGTACCCACCTGTGATAAACCTGTGACACATCGTGAATGAAGATGAGGAATAAAACTGGGATTAAATGTGTCAATACTAGGCTTACTGATAAAATACAGGCCCTCTAAATCTTCTTCATCTGCCTCCTCTTCCTCTCTAGAGTACGACATCCCAGTTTTTGAGAAGTCGGGTAAAGGTGGAACGTACCCTCGGCGATACGGCATTCCCTTCGGCCTTCAGGATTACAGTGATGGTGGGTAATTCTTCCTTAATGGCACCAAACAATATGGCTGTTTGACAGCTGCATGGTTCAGACCTCTTTCCCTCTCCAGGGAGGAAGACCTTTCCTCGGGCTCGGCGAACGCAGGTCCAAGGCTTCCGCTCGCCGGTCAGCTTCAGCCCGACCGAGCAGTCGCCCAGCACCAGCAGCGGAAGCAGCGTTTTCACCCCAGACCTGGAGGAGGCCCCGGGGCCCGCCAGGAGGCCGCGGAGGGGCAGCGACATCGAACCCAATCCCAACCCAACTCCCACCCTGTCTGTAATGGACATCAGCCCACCCAGCCGCTGTGAGTTGGATGTTGATTTTATTGCACTACACCGTCTCCATCCGTTTCCAGTGGTTTGACTATCTGATGTTTGTATGACGTGTTCAGCTCCACGCGCACCAACCAACTGGCGGCTCGGAAAGCTTCTGGGGCAGGGGGCCTTCGGACGGGTTTTTCTCTGTTATGATGCCGACACTGGCCGAGAACTGGCGGTCAAACAGGTCCAGTTTGACCCAGAGAGTCCGGAGACCAGCAAGGTGAGAGTGTTTGTTATCAGATGGTGTGTACGAAGAGGCAAAGGTGGACCAACAACGACACAGTGATGTATAATGGGTTTTGTCATTTTAGGAGGTGAGTGCGTTGGAGTGTGAAATCCAGCTCCTGAAGAACTTGTGCCATGAACGGATCGTCCAGTATTACGGCTGCCTGCGAGACACGATGGAGCGAACGCTCTCCATCTTCATGGAGTACATGCCCGGCGTGAGTGCTCATTTACTTTTCACTGTGAAGTTTAATAACTGTAAATAGGGCTGCTCCCCACTTAAGTCCACTAGATAATGTTAATTTAATTATTTAAATACACATATATCTATATTTTATCAGCCGCCTGTTAAATGCTAAAGTCAAACACATTCCAACACAACACACAACTCGCGCTGATCAAAACAGAATAAATAACTTCCAACTTCACAAAAACAAATACTTATAGCTATTGATACGACGGAGTCCCTGCCTGTGTCTTCGTCTCCAGAGTCAGAGACCTAGTTTGGTTCCGCTGGGTCCTCCCTCTCCTCCCCCCTCCTCTTGTGTAGCTCCCTGGGTCGAAAGGCTTTAGTGCTCCTAACTCCTGGAAGAAAATACCTCCTTAAAATCAATACACTTTCATCTGTTGGACATCTTGGAACATTGATCTTAAACCTCCCTCTTTTACACAACTGGATTTATTTTACATTTATTAAATGTATCTTCCCAATCAGAAACTTTTAAAGACTTTCTGTCTCTCTGTTATATTTCTTTATTTTTGTTTTCGATGTAAATGAAGGTGTAAAGCTAAGTTTAGGGATACAAATCCTCCTTTCTGTGTCCCTCAGGGCTCCATTAAGGACCAGCTGAAGTCGTACGGAGCGCTGACGGAAAACGTGACGCGCCGCTACACCCGGCAGATCCTGGAGGGGGTTTCCTACCTGCACAGCAACATGATCGTCCACAGAGACATCAAAGGTGAGCTGTTCATTTTGTTTTAAGCTGCTGCTGCTGGGCTTTGGTGTATCGAACAATGTGCCGTCTGAGAAAGTATTGATGAGGAATTTTCTCAGGAGCCAACATCCTCCGTGACTCGGTGGGTAACGTGAAGCTGGGAGACTTCGGGGCGAGCCGGCGGCTGCAGACCATCTGTCTGTCAGGAACGGGCATCATGTCTGTGACCGGCACCCCCTACTGGATGAGCCCAGAAGTGATCAGTGGAGAGGGCTACGGCAGGAAGGCTGACATCTGGTGAGACCGCACGCTCGTACTGGCCTTATCTCACCTTACAGGGATTTCCAGGTTTCCCTCAAACTGTGCTGATGTTTATTCTGCCCTCAGGAGTGTCGGCTGCACCGTAGTGGAGATGCTGACTCAGCGTCCCCCGTGGGCCGAGTTTGAGGCCATGGCGGCCATCTTCAAGATCGCCACCCAGCCCACCAACCCCGTGCTGCCTGCCCATGTGTCGGACCACTGCCGAGAGTTCCTCAAACGGATCTTTGTAGAGACTAAGCAGCGGCCGTCCGCCGACGAGCTACTGAGGCACATCTTTGTACATTAACCCAGCCCCTCCTCCTCCTCCCCCCACCTGCCTGCCGAACTGCCAGATACGGCCTTACCTGATGGGGCGTCCCCACGTCTGACCCCGCCCTCTCCACCTCCACGCTGAACCCATATTGGACCAGGAGGAACCGGCTGGAAGAAGGTGGGGTGTGTCGGCATGGAGGAGGGGGTGCGTTCCTGCTCCTCCTGTCTCCGTTTGTACGAGACTGCCATAAAGGACATGAGTTTTTATTTTATTTTTCTCCGCAAGTTGCACCTTAATTTCTCCAACGAGGAGGGGTCGAGCACTTCCTTCTGAAGCGATGAAAAACGTTGAAAACGTCTCCTTTTTTTTATGTTGGTACGTTTCTCTCTTCAAATGTTTTGGAGTTGGGATAGCGTCGGTGTCGTGGACCTACAGGAGGTGATGGCTGAGTCTCGAGTGGCCCCTGCTCCCCGCTCCCCGCTCCCCATCTTGCTGACCCGACCCCAGAATGTATCTCCTGCCAACCCCAGAGCGATGGTGATGACCTGGGCCCGCTGCTATAGATGAAACTAAACCCCAGATGCATAGAACACTCCCCGAAAACGGTTTCCACTCACCCGCCCTCATCCCTCGTCCTTCTTCCTCTCTGTCTTTCTTCTCTTTGTCTGTAAACCACCTTCCCTTCTCTCCCTCTCCCATCTTCGCTCTTCGCCGTGTGCCTTTTCTGTTTTTTAAACGCAACGTAGGAGTGAGTTTGCGGATAATCTCCGCCGTTTATCGCCGCAAGTGTTGTTTTGCCTCCTGGATAAACTGCCTTTTCGCACCGTTAACCCAAATCCAGCTGATCTCGGTTCAGCCGCTACGCTCGTTCTGCCTTTTCTGGTGCTGAGCAGGGAGTGTCCTGATCTCACCTCAGCTCATTTGGTTTCCTGCCCGCTCCACCTGCCCGCTCCACCTGCCCGCTCTGGCTGGTGACCAAATAGATCACATTGGTTGAACACGTGTCATGGCAGATCAGAGGTGGGTTAATGTTCTGGGACCTGCGGCCGCTGCAGCAGCTCACATTCTGGAAGTGTTGCACCAACGACTGGCTGACTGGTTGGCTGACTGGCTGACTGACTGGTTGGCTGACTGGTTGGCTGACTGGTTGGCTGACTGGTTGGCTGACTGTAACGCTGCGGGCAGATGGGTTGTCACTCGGACGGCGTTTCTTTCTGCCATGACCACGCGTCATTCGTTATTTGAAGCGGTGAAGCAGGAGTGTTTGAGCAGCTGCTGTAAGGCAAGAAGCTCACAGCTGATTGGCCAGAGGTCTGGCTGTATGACGCTGTTGTCCGTTTTATTTCAAACTAAAAGCCCGGGACGTCTCTGGCTGTCTCACTCGCTGCTCGTCATCGATCAACAGCTTCATTTGCTGCAATCGCTTCCTGTTTAAGGTTTCCCGCCAGGGCGTCGCTGTGCCATACCGGAGCGCCGAGTTGGGTTTTTGGCCTCATGCGCACTCGTACAGATTAGACTCACACTTGAAGACGTTTACAGTGTCTCGCAGCTCCGTTCCTCCGCAGCAGTCAGCGCCGCCGCCGCCGCCGCCACATTCAATGCATCAACTCGTCACTTTATCCAAACCACAAACGCTCCGCTCGTCGCGAGTTCCCGCTCAGCCCTCGTCGCGGTCCTCCTCCCCGGGGGCCTCGCTTCCACAACGTCTGTCTGATGAATACGATGATAATAGAAGTTGTTTCAGCTCCGTAACTATGCAGCAGTAAGCTGAAAGGTCGCTGCACACCGCGGACAGCCGGAGGAAGTTTCTCCAACCAGGGACACCTCGGTGCTCGGTCAGCAACCAGCCGTGTGCCATACGACACGTTAATGACTTTATTCAGTCGCCGTTCTCTTCCACTTCTGAATGTGATTACTCAGCACTTCATTCTGCTTTTAATGAGTGAGGCAGCTGCACAGACCCAAATAATGTATTTACACAGCGGACAGAGCTGATTATTAAGAACATCTGTAGACAAATGTCTCTGACATGTTAATGAAGCTCTAATAAAAGCTGTTTGTGTTTATTAAAGGTGCAATCAGTAACATTTCTCCAGCAGTTTCTCTCACTGCTGTTTACTTTCTCCAAAAACCGCCGCAGAACTTAAACACCACGCACAAATTCCATTAATATAGTGCCGGCTTCTGAACGCCATCTGCACACGAGGGGGTACGACCACGTGTTTGTTGTTGTTGTTTGTTTGTGTTGGGATTCAGCCTTTACTCTCACACACTGCCTGTAATGGTGGAGCTGCTGTGGGACGGTACGATGCTTACACAGCCTATCTGAGTGCAGGGGGAGGACGTTGAGCGAGGATTGCTGCACTGTGATTGGAGAACAGAGCAGTCATTGAGTTATTTCCAGGAAACCTTCCAGGACCGTTTGTTGTTGTTGTTGTTGTTGTTGTAGTTCTCTGTAGCGGCCACTAGCTGTCAATAAAGACACGGATTTTACTGGTTGCACCTTTTTTAAAAGCAGGATGAATTGTTCACCTTGAAGCTTTTACTGATCGGTGAACCGGCAGCGAGCCGGCAGCGAGCCGGCAGCGAGCCGGCAGCGCTCGTTAAACTCTGATCAGTTGTTGGATCCACACACGTTGTGGAAACTTCTCTTCTTCTGTCCGGCTGACTGAAACAAACTCGTCCTTCACTCAATTTATGCATTTTCATATCGGTACGTGTCCAAAAAGAAGCTAAAGAATCAGCCTCCTTTCACGGTAACATTAGTGGCTGTATTGAGTTTGAGGCGGCTGACGGTGAACTGTCTGGTACAGATGGAGATTGAGTCGTAAATGCCGCCAGCACTGGTAAACCTTGATACGCACTACCATTATGCACTATCTCTGATTCACTGACGCTTTCTCACGACCCCTCGCCGGCTGTCGCTCGCGCAGCTCCGTTCAGCGACCTTTTCTTTGCACATTTTTAAAGACTTTTATTTTTACACAAGTGTGATTGTGAGCGTGTGTGTGTGTGTGTGTGTGTGTGTGTGTGTGTGTGTTAGCTGAGTACATGAATGTAATGTCTTTTTTTTGTTAACCGTCAGATGGCCTCGTTCACCCCCGTGGATTAACTCTTCGGTACCAGTATTTGTCACCTGCAGACGCCAAGATACACCTGTAGTTCTCTCTTTAGTGTCTAAAGCCACTGCTGCAACTCGTGCGCGAGTGTGTGTGTGTGTGTGTGCGCGTGTGTGTGTGCGCGTGTGTGTGTGTGTGCGAGTTTGTAAATGTGCATTTACTGCAATTTGTGCTCTTTGGACACTGCGCCCGAAATGCCTTGAGCATTGTGACTGTAGGGGGTGAGAATATTAAAATAATAATAAAAAATGAAAATCATGTACAAATGTATAAAATGAAAATGTACCCTTTTTAAAAAAAGAAAAAAGAAAAAAGAAAGGTCCACTTATATCCCACGTTTGGTCTCTGTGTATTGTAAAAAAAAAAAAAAAAAAAAGCCATGTTTATAATTCTGATTGGTTTGTGACCAATACGCCTGTTTATATCAGATCTGTATATCAGTGGTACGCATAATTTTTTAATATATATTTTTTATTTTACTTTTTTTTTTAAATGGGAGATTTTATGCATGGTTGGGTCCTGAGAGACGCAGCGGTGCCGTTGAATGGTTGCTGTTTTTTGGCAAAAAATTCTGGAGTATTGCGACAGCTCTGTGTTCATAATTACAACAATTATGACTCTGAAAACAATAAAAGATATTTATTTCACATCCAGGCCTTCTTTTGTCTCTCTCTGTGTTCAGGTTTTGGGGGTTTCGTTTAATATGTTAAATATATTTAAATATTCTGCATTTTTATATTTTATGTAACAACTTATAAACATTTATTTCTATATTTCTTTTATTTTTTTAGCTTTTATTTAAAGAATAGACAGTTGTAGTTATGGTATTCGACCACCGGAGGGCGCCAAACAAACATTTAACATGACAACCATCGTCTCTATCCAATGTAAAGACAAACACAATAGCATAGTAGTAGTTCCTTTAAATTCTTTCAAAATAAAACCTTTAACATGGAGTTGTAGTTACAATAAATCACCACCAGATGGCAGCAAAGATACGCAAATACAAACGTCTGCTGTCCCAGATGAAAGGCAGGCACATAGTTAAACTCCTTCAGAGTTTTATTTCTTCTAATAATCAGATAACGAGATAAAAAGTCCAACTTTTTTTAAAAACTGACCTTGTTTATCTAATAATTTGACATTTTATCTCATCAATTCTACTTTTTATCTCATTGTTCGACTTTCTATCTCATAATTATGTCTTTCTATCTAATACATTTTCTCCTGTTATGTGCAGGTTGACGTATTTTGCACATTACGTTGATCTGAAAATGAATAATAATAAACACTGTGGGGATATTACAGGGCAGTTATCATCATATATGAAAATGAAAACACCTCTTCATCATTTCCATAACAAAGTAGGATGACTGATCCATTACAGTTCCTGCAGTATCAACAGGCTCCCTGCAGGGTGCTGCACACAACAAAGCCCTGTGATCGACACACACACACACACACACACACACACACACACACACACAGCTCTGAGCACCATCAACCCTGTCAGACACTCAGCTCCATGGGCTCCCCGGCGGCAGCATCCCGGTTCCTCCGTCTCGCTGCGCCGTGCGCCCGGACGCCGCCGGTGGCCCGGCCCGGTGCGGAGCTCGGAGCCTCCGCTCTGGTGCCGACCAGAAGAAACCTAAACGTCCAGGCGACGACTGAAAAGGCGGAGAAGCTGAAGAGCATCGATGAGCTGCCAGGGCCAAGTTTTGCCACCACTCTGTACTGGTTGTTTATCAAAGGATACGCGGACAAGAGCCACTTACTGCAGGTACAGTGCCAGCTCTGTCTCTGTCTCTGTCTCTGTGAAGTTAGGACTGAAAATGTCTGAGCCACTTTACTTGTTGCCAGTCGGACAAAAGCAGCCTTGATGGCTCCAAACAGCCTGAAACATTCCCCACATTGTTGGCGTTTGTTTGCAGGATGTTTGTTCTTGCGGTTGTGTAGAAGACAATCTTTAAAAAATACTCCACACAGTTGATGCATTCAGAATAAAGAGAGTTCATGTATTAGCTGCAAATGTCCACAATTATTAAAAGTAAAAGAACCCTTTATTATATTTATTATAACATTATATATAATATAACATTATATTATTGCATTCTTATTATTATTGATGCCTTACCATGTAAGCAGCATTTAAATGCTTTAGCTGTTTACTGTTGGGGAGTTTAATCTGTATAATTATGATTATATGTTTTATTTGAACATTTTACTATGAAGAGTAAAGTAACCAGTGACTGTAACTGTACAAATGTCATGAAATAGAAGAACTCAAGTACTGTACTTGTATCTCAAATGGTCCTTAAATGCAACTCTGGCGTAAATGTACTTAAATTACTTCAGACTCTTTTAATTTTACTCACTGACATTATTTTCTAGGATGTACAGAGGAGTCTTTACGGGCCAATCTGGCGCTCCAGGTTCGGCCCGTTCGACATTGTCAATGTGGCGAGTCCAGAGCTCATAGCTCAGGTAATCCAACAGGAGGGCCGCTACCCGATCCGAGCGGAGCTGCCTCACTGGAAGGAGTACCGGGACCTGAGAGGACAGGCCTATGGTCTGCACGTGGAGTGAGTGGTTTTAACTCTGTTTTATAAAGTCGGGTTTAAGTGTGCATGAGCAAAAAGAAAGAATCCCATAAAGTAAAAAAGTCAAAGGTTTATGTATTTGAAGTATTTGCAAAGGAGTTCCTCAGGGCTCCCTCACGGTGCCCCTCGAGGTTTGAATCTGAAGAAGCACTAATGTTCTTTTACTTTCTAGCACAGGGCCGGAGTGGTACAGGATCCGCAGCGCCCTGAACCCCAAGATGTTGAAGTTGCGTGAAGTTTCGGCCTACGCGCCCATCATCCACCAGGTGGTCGGAGATCTGCTGCGGCGTATCGAGCTCCTCCGGAGTCGCAGTCAGGACCAGGTCACTGTTTCAGATATGGCTGCTGAGCTCTACAAGTTCGGCTTTGAAGGTAGGAGTTACGTCGGTAATACCAGCGGTTAGGGTTAGTTAGGGGGACAGTTTTTGATTCTTTCCAATTTTTGACCTCCTGCAGGTATCTCCTCCATCTTGTTTGAGACCAGGTTGGGCTGCCTGCAAGACGAGATCCCCAAAGACACCCTGCGCTTCATCACCGCCACCAGTGACATGCTGACGCTGTCCGAGACTGTGGTCCTCTTCCCTCACTGGAGCCGCGGGATCCTTCCCTTCTGGAAACGCTTCGTTCAGGCCTGGGACGACCTCTATGACGTAGGTATGCAACAAATCAAACAACAAAAGGAAACATTTGGGGTTCCAATTTTGGATTCACTTACAGGATAAAGGTAAATTATTCGTTTTTTGTGTTTCCGTGTGGCAGCCCAGACCCTCATCGACAGGAGGATTGCTGAAATTGAAGCTCAGGTGTCCAGTGGCGAGCCGGCAGAGGGCATGTACCTGACCTACCTGCTGTCCTGTGGAAAGTTGGCCAGAGCCGAGGTCTACATCAGCGTCACTGAGCTACTGCTGGGAGGAGTCGACACGGTGAGAAGGGGGATGATGGGACCTGTTCTTACATGCACACAGTCAACAACACATAATGCATCCCTTTTTTAACATTTGTTATCCCAGAAATCAGTTTAAGTGACATTAAACCCAAACTTCTGGTCTAATTGGCGTTTAAATCGACATCATAAATGTAAATGTATACTTCATGTAGAGTGGAGAAGTCAAAGCTGGATTAGGGAGGGGAAACAACAACAACTGTGTGCCTTCTCCAGTAGTTCCTTTTATCGATGCCAGCAGTTTGTCTGACAGTTGACATTGCGAAACAATGATGCTAAACTGGCAAAAGGAAGAAGTCAACAGCAATATGCTGAAAATGAGCATAATGAGAGAATCCAAAAGTATATTACACCTTCACAGATCAACTACTGAGCAGAACTGGACCAATACACCCTCCAAATCAAAATGGAAAAAACTTTTTAATTACAATTTACAATCACTTGTGGAGTCTCCTTCCTTCAGTGGAGTCTCTGCCAACTGGTCCGGAGACTCACTTCCCTAACCTCTACCAACCACATGTAAGATGGCCCTTAACTGATGTGACTGATGAGACATTGAGAAAGACACCGGCGGTGCACAGACTCAGTGGACGCAGCCTGACCCGAGAGACATTTTTAGCTACAGTGTGACAAACATGCAGAAAAAAAAAAAAGAAAAGGAGAAACTCAAATGTCTAGTAGGTGAATTTCTGTACAGCTCTTGCCACAACCGGAAGGACATCCAGTGAAACACTTCAACAAATGAATAATGAAACAGTTGAGTTGACACTGAACATCTGCATCGGCATGCTTTTTTTCCACACAGATAACTGACCAAGAATCAATAAGGGAATCGATACAGAATTGGACACACGTTTCCAAATGTGGTACACACATTCATGCCCTCCTCGGGATGAGTGTAAAGATTTTTTAGTTAGTTAGTTAGTTTAAAATTTTCCCAAGACTGCACTTTGGTTTATGACCAAACATTGACCTCGACTGGCGTCCGTCTGTGGTTGTCTGTGACAATGGAACAGTCTGGATTTGTGTACCAGCGTGTGCCACAGCCTCTGAGAAACAGCTTTTTGCGTGTTGGTAATAAACAGCATACATGCTCAGCTCAGACAGCTTCCCAAAACAACAGAAAAGATGCCTACAGTCTTATTCCCATTTAGCTCTCTGCTTCTCACCACAGACACAGACCCAAAGTACGAGGAGGATCACAGCTGCTTTTTGTACAGGCAGTTGCAGAGCTCACTTGGCTGCATTCCCAGGTGAGGTTGAGGCATGTTGGTGTTGTTTTAGCCGCGAGCTGGAGGTTTGTGAAATGTGAGCTGTCTCAGCTGTAACGTGACTCGGGGCTAAGTCGACACGGTTTGGTTAGAAATCACGTACAGAACGGACACACTGATGAAAGAAATGTTGATTGCTTTCTCCTGATTTCTCCTTCCTTTTCCTCCCGCTCTCTCTTCTCCTGCCTGACGGCAGACCTCTAACACCCTGTCCTGGGCTCTGTACCATTTAGCGATTGACCGCAGGGCTCAGGATCGACTGTACGGCGAAGTGAACTCTGTGTGTCCGGACAGACAGGAGCCGACCACAGACAACCTGAGCAGGATGCCCTACCTCAAGGCCGTCATAAAGGAGACGCTACGGTGAGCTGACAGCGGTCTGGATTCGCCTCCTAACGCACTGCGTCCACTCGGTTGGAGGTTGCGTATCAGCTGAAGTTCTAACAGGAAAAACTCATAAAAGTTGGATCAGTTTATTCTTGGTTTTGGAATCTTTATGTGATTCAGTAACGTCTGTACGTGGTTAAGAAAGTGTAAACTGAGGGTAAAATCATCGCCCTAATGATGCTTCTGAGTTGGTGGAGCAGGAGTCTGATCTGTGATTTTCAGAGACTCCTCAGTAGAAGTATTTAGAGCAGGTTATATAAGGAGCAGGAAGACAAGACCTGAACACAGAGACATAACTGTCTTTTTATTTCTTTCCACATTAGGCCCACCTCCTCTCTTGGGATGGCTATTGGACCTCACCAAAACTTTCAATTCTTTCTTTCTTTTGCTTTGAGTTGCTCAAATTCACCAAGTCGACCCAAAGCGATCGCTACATGAAACTGTTCCAAGCAGACTGCGTGAACTTGTGGCAGTTTATATTAGACTTTAACTGGTGTAGAAAGATTTTAAAGAACTGGTTATTGCACCTTGTTTTTTTGGTCTATTTATTATTACTGGTCTGCTGAGGCTCAAATTCCAGTGAACTGGAATGAACTTGAAACTTGGCCCAGTAAATGGAATTTGTGATCTGTTTTCTAAGAAAGTAAAAAGGGGGTGATGTTTTCTTATGTCTCCTCCTTATTCGTGGTGGAGGGAGGTGGGAGGCAAATCAGGAGGTAGGAAGAAAAAGAAGGAAGCATGGAAGGACAGGAGGAAGTAGGGAACAAAAAGGCAACGAAGGAAAGAAGAACAGAGGGAGGAAATAAAGGAGGCATGTTTGATACATATTTTGTGTTACTAATTTCTAATAACAATGAATGAGCCAAAAGCCCTGGAGCAAACTATCACAATATCATATTATGCAACAGTAAATTAATATCCTCATAGTCATCTTTTCAAAGTATTGGGTGGAGTTTGTATGACTGTGTCCTATATAATAAACTGTGTCCTCTACATGGCTAAAAGGATGTGGACACCCAGCCTTCCCTAAAGTCCTCCAGGTCCTCATTAGTGAGTGCAAACAACTGCGATCAACCACAAGGCAGGGTAGGGGGGTACCTGGGGAGACACACACAGGAGATAACAGAAAGAAAAACACACACGACACTGCAACATGTAAGAATAAAGTAGATTGAAAATGCTGTTTACATGTTTCTGCATCCTGGGCGCTGGATTTACATTACACTGGTATTTATGAGAGAGAGTTTTTATCCACCAAAAAGTTATAAAGTTTGTATAAAATATTGTTAATAATCTTTAAATAGGTATGAAAACATTTACTTTGGACATTTCTGAACTTTTTGCTGTTTATACTTTTACTGAAATGCACTACAAGGAGTTTTTACCTGGTTATGAAGCAGCCTCAGTTTATTACTGATGTCTCTGTATGACCTACAGAAACAAAAAAGACCATCAGTAATGTCTGCCACCGGGTCAGATTCCCCTTGAAATCAATGAAACGAAGCGGAGGAAACACTACTGCTTTTGTCCACAAGGGACCCAGAGTCAACACAAAATGAAAGTTTTTTTTGTTGGACATTTTAATGCAGCTTTACTTGTAATAGGAATTTGTAGTGTTGCTACATTTCCACCCTTGTCCTGACCTGTGTGATACGGTAGCGTGACACACTGTGTTTTTTGGAAACAGTTATTATCTTATCTGATCTGCCATCTGAACTCAACTGTTGTGAAGCAACGTTCTCCTGTGATTTGGAGCCCGATTGTCGTCTTGTGTCTTTCTCCACCAGCCTTTATCCCGTGGTACCTGGAAATGGACGCTTTATTTCCGAGAATGAGGTGGTTGTGGCCAACTACTGGTTCCCAAAGAAGGTAGGAAAGCAGGAGCAACACACAGGAGGTGATGTACAGTAGTGTTGCCTTCAATGAAATGAGGAGAAATTGATGTTTTTCTTTCTTTTCAGACTCAGTTCCATCTGTGTCATTACTCAGTCTGTCACGATGAGGCGGAGTTTGCAGACGCAGAGGCCTTCATCCCGGAGCGGTGGCTCCGTGCCGAGGCGCACGCCAGCGGCTACTTCCAGCATCACCCGTATAGCTTCATCCCCTTCGGTGTCGGGGTGCGGGCCTGCGTGGGGAAGAGGGTGGCAGAGATGGAGATGTACTTTGCTCTGTCCAGGGTGAGTGACATAGAGACAGACCCATTTTGGTTTTACTCATTTCAAAACACAAATCTGTTGGCCGCAAAGTTCGCTGACCTGTACACCAATGGGTTTTTTAGATTTAGAAGAATATGTAGACTAAAAGTGTTAAGCTGAACAATCATTAGATTAACGGTAATAATCTGAAGACAGTTGTGATCAGTTTGTGTCGTCCTGCAGCTGATACAGCATTATGAGGTTCAGCTTGAAGACGGCGCCCCAGCCGTGGAGCCTAAAACTCGAACCCTGCTCATCCCCGCAAAGCCCATCAACCTGCGCTTCCTGTCCAGAGCCTAATGAGGGCGCCACCGAGCTGAGGGTCAACAGCAATGTTCTTTATTCTTTGAGTAAATACAGCTTTGTGTTGCATTATGACAGTTTGACTGGATGATCACAGCCCAACCTGACACCAATCACTGTGCAGTTTTTAAATCGCTTTGACACTTTGACTTGTAGTTTGCGAAGCATTTAATGTGCAAACGTCTGCACACACATTTACATATATCACAGACTACGGGCATAAAAGACTTACCTGAGGGACCGGATTCAAGGGAAACTCTGGTATTTGTTAACCAGGGAGGAGGAGGTTCACATCATTCTTGCTAGAGTCTGTATTTTCCCTCATTCTTTTACTGATTAACTCTGAACTTAATGCTCAGACTTTGCCTTCTTCATGATAACAAATATAATCGCTGCATTTATTTGTATAGTGACAAGCCCGATATTGTGCTTCTGTTTGTGCGTATCACTGTACTTTGCACAGACATGTTTACTGCCGACGTGTGATTTCATTCATCCATTCTTTTTGCAATTAAGCAGGTGAGTCACAGGCTGATGTGACAAATCTGGTCCGACATCAAAAATAAGTGTGTGTGTTGAGTGGGTGCACACTGCCCCCTGTGGTGACATGAAGCTAGTGTATGTTAACAAGTTAATAACTGGGAGTATGGAAGGAAGCAGCAAAGGAGACGAGAAGACATTGAAGGAAAGGAGGACAGAGGGAGGATAAAAGAAGGTGAAGGAAAGGATTTTTTTTTTTTTAGCTCTTTAATGTTTCATCTTATATCAAACTGCTTCAATAACAACAAAAGCTATAAACTTTTCTTTATGATTCTTTAAGAGTCTCCAAAGGTTTTATTTCTATGATTCTTCTTCTGTTTCTATAACCTATAAAAATATAAGATGAGCGTAAAAGCTGGAGATAACTGCAACCACAGTGGGTTAAAATGACTGTAAATCAGTAAAACATCTTTGTTTGGCTATAATTTGTTTAATATTCCTGCATAGTTTATCTCTGAAGCTCTGTTTAACTTTCCTTCACAACTACATGTATTTTATTATGCAATGTGGCTGTTAACGATTGTTAAACTGTTTGAAATGCACAAATATAAATGAATATATTCAGTGTATTTCTGTATGGTGTCATCTCTTTAAGTCCACATTGTGTTGGAAAGAAACTCAATGTTTTATTTTGTGATGCCTTCGGTTAAAGATCCTCTCCAGACATATAGTAAGACATACACTAATAGTCTTCTTGGAATAATAGTCTGTGAAAAAAAAAGTATAATTTCCACATTCAAATCTTTAAAAAGTAATTTACTCCTTCAACCTAATTAGAAATCCCAGATTCTATGAATATGTAAATTGTGCACCAATTAACATCAGTTACTAAATGAACATCATGCTGTATGAAAGAAGACTGAAACTAGAGACTGAGACCAGAAACTCATCAGGAAACTGTTTACTGAGCTCATCAATCAACTGAAAAGTCGGCTCATTTCTCCATAAGACTGAATGGTATCTGTGTTATTGCAACCAGTGGAGCTGCCCCCTGCTGGCTGTTAGAGAGAATGCAGGTTTAAGACACTTCCACATTGGCTTCAATTCTCAGACCCGGAGGCTCTGCCCATTATTTCTACTGTCAGTAGTTTCCACATTACGCTGTATAAGTTACATGCTGGACCTGGATTGACCTTCTGAGCTATTTGTGATGTCACAAGTCATAAACAAGCTCAAGAGAAACTTTCCACTTTCAGCAGCTGAATGTGAAAACATCTTTCTGGTGTCAAACTCTGCAGACTCTGAGTTCTAACTGGAGGGGGACTTTACACTTGTTCAACGATAATTTATACAGAAGAGATGTGGAAAACAGAAGGTCACTATAAAGCATTGTGGGTCAGACTGAAACTGGGTCAGTGGTTGTAAACTAAAGAGTGTTTGTCTGCCGCCCCCTGCTGGACACATGTGAATGAAAGTACTGTTAAAGTAAAGCTTCATTAAAGAGAAGAAGTAAATTAAATGTTCAGTGCTTTCATTGGTCGTATACAGTTTATCAGAGCCACTGTGGAAACTGTGATAAATATCAATTCAATTCAGCTTCTGTTGATCCACTCAGCTTTAGCTTTAGGAGATCATAAAGGTGAAAGTGCATAAAACCTAATGAAGATAGATTCTGATACATTTAGAAAGTATTCTAAGGACAGGACTCCCACTTTAGATAGGAATACAGGACTTTCCTTAAGGTCAGCTGACATTGTGCATTAGTGACACACACCTGAGCCCGGGGCTTTAAAGGCACCTTTGGGTCTGGGGCCTATAGTTAGAAATTCAGCCTTAAAGCTTTATAGTTGTATAAAGCAAAGTTTGAACACTGGAATAACGTACCAGCAGATTTGTCAGTATTATTTTGAAGGTTGAACAACTCACTTCCTGTGTCTGCCTGTGACTTTTATTCACCACCACCTTAATCCACAAACAATTTAAAAGAATACGAATAATAAAATAATTATATTTAGAATTAAAACTAAGAATAGAATTAAGATAAAATTAAAAAATACAACAAATGAATTTACAAAAATACAAATCAATACAATTTATATGATAGTTTATTATAGGCTATAATATAATTCAAATTATACTTTACATACAAGCAATAAAATATAAATAGAATACACTGTATTAAATATGAATAGTAATATATTGATAGTTTCAGTATTATTAAGGACAAACAGTTGTTGTTGATCATTTACAATGTCAGCCTGTAGGAGGCGCTGCGGAGTTCCCTGACTTTTATTCCCTCCAGTAAATGTGATGCAGGCTTCGACAGGTCCGGACCACCACTCAGTATCCTCCATCCATCCATCCGGACACCTCGGTTCTAATTAGAGCACACACTGGTCCTTTTTACCCGGTATGTAAACCCGGGTAATCGGTCTTTTAGCCCGGTTTGTGTGTGTTCTTTCCCCCGATGGAGGAGCAGTGAGGTCGCGGATCCAACGCCCTGCAGGCTGCCGGGGAGACACGGAGCTCCACACCGACGGGGAGCACACCCAGGCCGGGGGAAGGAAACGTTGAACATGGTCGTGGTTTCGGCCTCGGGAGGCCGTCATATGAACGCGGACGAGGCGCGTGGACCTGTCGGGGATGATGGTGAGTGGCTGTCACGCGCGCGGTGGGTCTCTTTTGTCTCCGCGCGCGCACACACACACCTGCTGTCAAACATGATGAAACCGGGTACATTCAACAGAGGAAGAGGAGGAGGAGGAGGAGGAGGAGGAGGAGGAGGAGGCCAGGGTCCTTTGATTGAGGTCAGCCGGCTTCGCGTGCTGGATGCTGAGGTCGGTACTGTCTGACCCGGATGGCCGCATCAGGGTCGATCATCCCGGTCAGAGTCAATGGTTTCCAGCAGAGCGATGGATGACCAGTCCATTTACCAGTGGGAGTTAGGTCTGCACCACTGTGGAGTCTGAGCTCTCCCAGTGGGCCCTGAAGGGGTCTCAAGCAAGAGGACAGGTTTTAAGCTCAGTTTAAGTTAAATCTAATGTTTTCTTTACGATTTTATTAATTCAGATAAATTCAGTTATTTATTGACTGAAGTCAGGGCTGTTTCCCTCCTCGCTCAGTTTTAATCTGGGATTTATTCCCATAATTTGGCTGATTAAACTCAAATCTGGATTTAGGACTAGTGTTTATTATGGAAACCCATTTCTGCCAATGTGATGGGAAAAAAGGATTCTGTAAGTCTTAAGCTTCAGCTGTAAATTGAATATATTTGGACTGTATGTGTTGGTCAGACACTTGAACAATGATGATTGTAATAATGATCCAGAAATGATCTTTACTTGCACACACACACACACCTGATATATTAAAGACCTGATCTGGGTTTAAAGGCCCGGGATGAACTTTTAGTCTGAGGCTTTTTTAGACGTATTTCTATTTTTGGTAAATGTGTGAGAAGCTTTGAAGGCTGGAGGCACCCAGGGGTCCTCCTGCATGATGAGTTTGATTTTATTCATTTGAAGTGAGGACAGTGAGAGGTTGATGTAGGAGCTTTAACGTGCTCTTTCTGCAGAGTGCAGTTGTGACCTACAAGGTCGCTCCGCACCATATTTCGTATTTTTCTATATTTATTTTAATTACCTGGTTAAAGGTAGATGATGTGTGTGTACAGATGTCCTCCTCGAGTGTATTGACAACTTCCTGAATGGACTTTTTCTGCACGTTGGCATGTTGACTAGCTTCATTTGACCCTTTACTGCCTTTTAAACCTCCATTAGGACGATCTATTGTGAGAAATGAATACAATATTCATAGGGATGTTTTCATTAGTGTATAATCACTTTAATATATAATATATAAGTCACCCATAGGTTTCTGAACCGTCCCGACCCCTCTGGCGTCCGGCTAAAACGAGGTGGAGCGTGACAGCACCCACCTGTCACTCAAAGCAGCTATTCCCTTAAATATGCAGAACTTTAAATATAATTTAAATGTGTGAGTTATATAAGAATGTAGCCTCTGTACAGTTGTCATGAACGGGAGAATTAGCAGTAGAGACTAAAACTGGCTGTAAACGTGTTTATTTCTGCTGTATAGTTACATTTTAATATCTGGCCTTACGGAGATTGATTGATTGATTTGAGGAACTTTGAGGTTCCCGCTTGATCCTTTTCCATCTCTGCCATGTTTGTACAGTAGCCCAGAACAGACAAACCAAACACGGGCTCTAGAGAGGCCACGTGCTTTGTCGTCACTGTAGTTTCTCCTTCATAATTGGAAGGCGAGCTGTATTCAGTGGGTTGCAATCTACAACTACACTGCTGGATGCCACTAAATCCTAAACACTGGACCTTCAACCACCCCTGCCCAGTCAGAGCTTTTATTTTCATAAAACACGTCTGCACTTAACCTTCCAGACTGGAAATATGACACACCAGTTTCATTTGAAGTCATCAAACCGAACTGGTTTCTCTCTGAAGCTGCCTACAGGTGCAGGAAACCAGACCAGAATGCATTGCAGCTATAACACATGGAGGTCACTGAAAGGCATTCTGGGAACTGTAGGATATTGCCAACTGAAGCAGGTTGAAGACAGCTTCTCCTGACGTGTTTTGAGTTTTGCAGACTGATAAAGCGGTGAGAGGAGACCTTGAGCGAGCTCTGCGGGCTCTTTGTGTATTCACTGTGAGTCAGCCCGCCGTCTTATCAGCGCAGTCAGGCAGCACGGCCCGAGCTCTGCAGCCCGCCAGGGGAATGAAAATGCCACAACACGTCGCTTCAGATCCGCTTGTGGGTCAACATCTCCGGCATGGTGCTGCTCGCATCCTCCTCCCCCTTCTCCCCTCCCCCTCCCTCCTCCTCCTGTCTGTCTGAGTCTGATGCAGGGACGGCAGAGTTCATTCTCCAGCTGCTGCAGCTTCACTAAGGTCTGACAAACGTTTGAGCCTCTCATTGAATCATTATTTTCACATTTAAGACTCTTTGCATTGACGGTTGAATTCAAATCTGGATATTATCTACAATCTTTAAAGAATGATCAGATTTACCTCTCTTGAGAATGATAGAAGAACTATTGGTTCACTTGGAATTTGTCATTTTTATGAGCAGTGAAAGATACCGAGCTGCTGGCTGATTGGTTCGTTGAACTTGTGCTAAGATGTCATTGGCTGGAATAAATGTCGATTAGTTTAAAGATAGGTAATAGTTGTTATGTTTTGCTGTGGATATGAAACATCTTCTGCCTGCCGCACTGTAGTAGGAGTATTCTAGTTGGAAAAGTATTCAAACTTCTTTCTAAACTTTCTACATGTTTCTCATTTGCACTTTAAAGTAGAGGTCACTGGTCCATAATTATCACCTGTAAACCAAAGAAAAACATCTTACTTTCGACCAGAATTACCTTTTTAATGACATTTTACAAGTAGGTGAATAATAAAGTTGTGTCTGCTGTGACGTTACCTCAACAGTTTATTTAAAAAAAGAGATTTTTGTGAATATTTGCATCACGTCCAGCAACCTGTAGCATCAGCGACCCACATTCCTGCACGTGGACCAGATGATCTGATGCAAACAGGCGGCATTCTCATGTTGCATCGAAATGTTTTTTGCCGTGTTGTGTTTCCTACCAGCACCAGCATGCAGGAAGCGTGGCGTTCATGTCAGGAGTTTGCCACGAGGCGTTCAGGGTCCAGCGGTGATGATAGGTGCACCGACGTGAGCTAATTAGTGCACATCCTCAGACAGCGAGCTGAGAGCCGCAGGCTGCTGAGGGCCAGATGTTTGTTCAAAGTATTAGAGCTTGTTGTTTGAGCCGACGGGGGCAGAGAGGCAGACTGGGACTGGACTGTCTTCCTTTTTTGATCCAGGATTAGTTTGTGCAGAAATCCTGCTCCCACTACAGAATCCCACACGAGTTTTAAGTCAAACTCAAACTCTGAATAATAATAATGATAATTTACTTTTCTTCTTCAGAAAAAAAAGTTGTATTTCATAATTAAATATATATCATGGATATATTGATTGATAATATATATATATATATATATATATATTAAATAAAGTAAAATGATCTGAATGAATCTGTTTTTTAGTTCTTTCTAAAGAAGAAATGTAAAAGATTTCAATAAAAGAGCAGCAAAGCTTTGTTTTCTTTTTTTTGTTTTCTCAGCTTTTTCTTTACAGTGTTGTGCTGAACAGGTCAGTGCGTTCAGAAAATGTAACATTAGATCATTTATCAAGAAAAACTGCAAACTTCCACTCCCACTTTGCTACTTTTATTTGTTTCATGTCATTGTAAATGTGAGTATTTTGAGTTTTGGACTGTTTATCAGACAAAACCAGACATGTGAAGGTCATTAGATTTTAGTGAAATAGCTAGTCCATGACATCTTCAAATAGTTTGTTCAATCGATCATTTATAGATCAACCCAAAGATGTAAACAGAAACATTGGAGAAGCTGAAAACACAGTGTTTGACATATTTGGCCTCATAAATGTCTTGACTATTGACTATTCATTTCGGGACTTGAGTTAAATCTGCCCCTCATATGCTGTCGATATCAATAAAAGAAGCTTCTTTTTATAATGTGTAAGTCCCCTCTGTGGCCTCCGCAGGCTGCGAGCACAGAGCTCGAGCCAGATTCCTTCAGGTGGAAAAATGTAAACTCCAAAAGCGCACAAAAGTCAGCAGCTCGGCGGCTCATTACTGAAGAACTGAAGCTAGAAATAATTGGGTTTGATGGCAGCCGGAGATTGCAGCTCCCCACAGTTGAAACAGCGTTGACCACGCACGCTCACGTGCCGCGCTGTAACTGGAGGTTGCACGTACAGTGAGGACGAGCAGAGAGGATCATGGGCTATTCCTGCACGTGCAGTGAATTATTGCAGACATGGATCAGCGTCTTTGTTTTTTTTATGAGCCAGAAATCTGGAAAAAATGTTTGTTTTTCAGACATAATGTGAATAAAATGAATAATTCAGCAGTTTTCATTATTTATAATGAGGCCTATTGATAATTGATGGCCTGTTGATGATAGATTGGTTGTCATTGTCAATGGTTGTCATGAATGAAAAGGGGGAAATTTGTCCCGTCCTCCAACCAGACAAGACTTTAAAATGAATCTTTAGGTTGTGTCAGCTGGTGGGAGGGCACTATAGTCAGATCACTATAGCTTAAAGACAAATGAAGCCCCCTTCTGGTGCAAGAACTCTGACGCTTCCTGCAGAAGAAGACAAATAAAGTCCCTTTTGCAAGCGCCATCTTTCTTCGTCTTTTGAACCTTTGGTGTAAAACTTAACAGATTTCCTGACATCACACCTCCAAGACACTGAGCTAAAAACATTCTGTCTCTTCCTGCTGTTAATGTTAGAGCTCTAACCCTGCGTTAAGTTCCTCATCCATGGGAACAAACATCATTGATATTCCTGAGTGGCTCCCTCAGAGCGGCGGCGGCAGACAGGGAGAACAGCGAGCTGTTCAGTCACACAGAGCAGCAGCATTAAGACTCTGTGAGAAAGAGAAGCCTTTATTGTTCGTTATGTAAGATATTTAGTTCCTGGAAGTCCTCAAACGTGCCACTGCAGGTCTGAAGAGAGGAACCCACAGGTTGGTCCTGAGTGTTTCTGACTGTCAGTGACAGTCCCGAGCCATTGTAAAAGGCCTGTCGTTAATCCAGAGCTCTCGCGACCTCGCCTCCAGCCACACAGCATTCAGTCGAATCTCATTATCTCTGTGTCTGCGGCGAACAGACCACACAGGATTATCAACGCTGCTGCTCGGACACAGAATGGTGTCAGGTGGTCAGCGTGAAGACGATTGAACTGTCAGAGCCCTTCATCCTTGATCTTAGTTGAGTCAAACAGTATAGAATATGAGTAAATAAATGTGTATATATATACACCCCACAAGAGCTGCAGGTTTGGAGATGCTTTGTCGTCCATCACAATGTGGCCCTTGTCAAAGTTGCTCAGATCCTCACGCTGCCCATTTTTCCTGCTTCTAACAACAACTCTGAGGATAAACTGTTCACTTGCTGCCTAATATAGGAGCCCTGATAACCAGATAGTCAGTGTTATTCCCTTCACCTGTCCGCGGTTATCATGTGATGGCTGTGTATATACTTCTGTGGGCTGTTAGGGCTTTATCTGGAGCAGCTCACTTTAGATGAACAGGTCTGTTTTAAAGGGGCACTTTTACACATGAAGTTTGGTTTTAGGCGCTTTTAAACTACGTGCCACATTCACCCATTCACACACATTGATACAGTGATAACAGATTTGCTGTTTGCCTGTTTTGTATCATTGTTAACTGAATATTTACACTGCTGGATTTTGGTTTTGGATAGTTTTTGAGGTTTTATAGACTAAAATGTAAGAGGCTCTTGTTCGATGCTGCCCTCTCAGCAGTCTGTCAGGGTGAAAACAGAGCCTGACATGGACAAAGACCTCAGTGTCTTCCTCCTCCTCCTCCTCCTCCTCCTCGTCCTCCTCCTCTCTTCCTCTCCTCACCAATTCCCCATCAGCAGATTTTCCACATTCTGTCCAATCAGAGAAGATGACACATGCTTTTATAACTGGAGCAGCCCATTCACTGTCAGCCTTACGTAACCTGCCCAGTGAGTGTCTGAGGAGGTGTGAGAACGCCTCGGCCTCTTGGAGCCGGCGGTCGTGCCTAATCTCCCGGAGCTGTGCGGGTGTTTGTGGGTGAGAGCCGTCGACCGCTGTAAATAATATTCATCTGTACAAGTCACGTACTGTTGTTCTGAAAAAAGTCACATGTGAGTCACCTTCTTCTAATAAAGATGACTAAAACTTCCGTCTGATGATTTTGGCTTCATTTTGAGCCTGGCTGTCGTTCAGAGCTGAATAGAAATTGAGATTATTTGTGAAGATGGACAGTTTTTTCTGTATTTATGTATTACAGCCTGTCTTTCATAAAAGCACATATCCCCTCCTGCTTTGATCTTTTGGCTTTAAACCTTTTTTTATTGTGCAGCAGACAGAATATTGTTTTAATCCAGACAGACAGACACAAGAAGTGTGTTAAAAGGCAAATTCTCTGTTTTGAGGTGAACATAAAAACTACTCCACATAGCAGAAATCCAGTTTTTGCATCATTTACCACATTAATTAGTTTTAATAACTGGACAAGGTTAAAACCTATTTTAATTCCAACCACTTGGGAATACCCGGTGTTCCCTGGAAAGCAGAACTCTACTGTTATGTCTTCAGCGTTGTCTGCTGCTGTTCCTGAATCTGTCAGGTCAAGTCCTTACCCGTGTAACCCTCCTCCTGTCAGTGTGTCTGTCTGAGTGAGACACGTGATGACACAAACACACCATACATACAGACACACATGCACTGCTCATGCTTCCAGCGCTCACGTTTCCACTGCAAAGCTGGTATTGATTGACATGTGCAGACAGATGGCGGTTGACATATTGGCAGGGCGATTGACGACAGCAACCTCTCTCTGTCTCTCTCCCGGAAGCTGACATGTAAGTCGGTGACACACTCGGTGTTGCATTGCGAGCGGCAGGACGCTCGTCATGAACAGGCCTGTTTTTGGCAGCTCAGCCGGCAGCCTGTTACCTTGGATGGTGTGTGAGCAACACTGAGAGACAGAGAGAGGTCTGTGTGCATCATGTGCTCGTTTTCTCATTAAACCGCCGGCGTTCAGACAGCGAAGAGAGACGAGAGGACATGTTGCAGCCTCGGTCAGAGCGGCAGATTTCTCAGGTCAGTGATGGAGAGAGGAGTCGCAGAGATTTTAAGATCAGGTTGTGTCTTTGAGATACTGTGGTACTCTGGCTGTATGGCTGGGTCACTGTTGTTCTGTTGTTATATTATTGTTTTGTTTGCTGCACTGATTGCTGTAGAAAGATTTTGTCATTTTTACATCACAATATCCAAACTTTATCTAATTTCTCTGCTCGTGAAATAAATGAAACATTTTCTTGATGAAAAAATTAAAATATTTTCACAAACTTTATTTGTCAGTCTGGAATTTAGGGCTTGAGGTTTTTCTTGAAGCTGTAATATGTAACATTTCCACATAAAATGTCTATAAACACTAGACCTATCAGCTCTTACTCGCTTCTGACTATATCACATACTAAGTTTGCTAAAACCTTATTTTGTTCTGAATTATTTTAGGACTTCAGTTTAAAGGTTGAGCTACGTTGTTCATCCAATCAAGGTCCACTTACTCGGTTGTTGTGGAGCTTTTAACTGCGTCACTGTCTTCAACACAACTTAAACTACCAAGCTCAATATTTTAAACCAAAGTGCTCAGAATGATTAAAGGATGGACTTTTAAAGTTGTGTTATACAGCCGAAAGAGAAAAAACATGTAAGTGGACCTTGATCGGAGCTCAGTTATGGATTGTAGTCATCAGACGTCTGGATCTTAAGTTATAAGAGAAACAAGCTGAGCTAACGTTAGCAGCCGCTCGACTCGCAGCCCCTCCGGGACGTCCTTTGTCTGTCCAACAGCGTGGGAGAAGCAGTGGTTTTTAAGGTGGAACTGCTTTATTCGGTGTGTTTTAGTGGTTTTAATCAGCGGGTCTGCGTCCAGATTTGTTCCACCAACAAATACAGTTTATTATCTCATAAGATAAATTCTCACAATTTGGCATACATCATCCTCACAGTGATATTGGTATCCAAATCCAAGTAAGAGTAAGGACTCAATTATTGTGTATAAAAGCTGAAAAGGTTTCTCAAACAAGTAAGTTGAAGGCAGTTGTAGATGGCATTTGCAGCTTTTGATAGATCAAACAATTAAGGAACAATCTGTATGTTTATAGGAATATCTTCCCTGTGCGCCTGCAATTTGTTTTTCCCACGTTGCACCTCTACCGAGCTGTTTTTGAACACTGGGTTTGTTTGGTTTTTTCGTATTGAATCAGGGGAATCGTTGCCAGTGCAAAGTGGTTTGGAAAGGAGCTGAAGTGCAGTGAGTAATGCATTATGAGGCAGTTACGTAACACAACGTGGTGGGAAGGCCACTGATGTTTTTCTCCTTTCTCTCAGTTCTCTTTCACCCTTCCTCTTTAACACTTCTGCTCATGCTACATGTTTATCTCTACCAAGGGATGGATGCAGTGTCAGTGTCAATGTTTGTTTGGGGGGTTTAGAAGATCATTTAGGTAAAGATATCGTGTTTCAGGTTGTAAAATATGATTTCCATAAGGCAATTTAGGAATGCTGCAGCCACATATTGGGATTGTTTTATTCTCACATTTAGTTTGATACTTTGCAGACACCTTGATTAAGCAGTTAAAAGCAGTAATATACCTACATATACTTTTAATTTAAGCCCCTTCAAGGAACTTTCTTTTTTTTTTTTTATTCTGGCACCCCCTGTGGACAAAAGCGGCACTGTTTCTACCACCTAGATTTATTGATTTCAAGGTGAATCCGACCTATTGGCAGGCATTAAGAATAACAACTGTATGAAGAACCTACCATCTCTCTGATGGTCTTAAACATAAAGAGGCATCAGTATTACATTTAGACTTTCATAACCAGTTACAAACTTCGTCCATAGCAGGAAATAATGCTAGCAGGTTCTCGTATTCCAGATAAACAGTACCCTAGAATGTATTTCAGAAATTATGACCAGCACTGCCTAGTTTGACAGTTTGACTTGAGTTTGGTGCGTTGAGCTGGACGGACTCACTGAGAATGAGCTGTCAATCACAAGGTAGCCCCGCCCTAAAGCTCTAAATGGGACCATCAGTTACTAAATGAACATCATGCTGTATGGAAGAAGACTGAAACTAGAGACTGAGAGCAGAAACTCATCAGGAAACTGTTTCCTGAGATGAATCAATGAGAAGTTACTGTTAGTTGGGTGTAGTCTTTAGGTTAACACATGCTGTTGAGGAATGACATGTAAAAGATCAGTTCCAGTGTCTCAAAGTTGCATCGTCTTATTTTTGCCACAGCTGGATCCAGGAACATGCTGGCCGTCGGTTGTGTCACATCATTGGGCGCTCTCCTGTTACTCACCGCCATCCAGGCTTTTGGCGTTAGTCTCGACTGTGACACACACGCGCTCACGTTGTTTGCTGTTGCCGTTTTCTTGTTGGACAAATCTGTTGCGTGACACATCAACAGTTGAGACACATTATGCAGATGGTCTTCTGTGAAGTTCTTTTTAACTCTGTGGAGTTGTTTTTCAGTAACGCCGTCCTCCATATTCTTAGTGGACGTTTTTTTCACACTGCAAGAGCAGCCCTTCTAGAAACAAGTAATATATTTAATATATATTCTTAAATATAATCAAAATTTCTTGTATTTATCAAAATAAATTTGCCAGTGGGATAAAAGCATAAAATCTAGCCACTGAATGATGGTAATGGGCCTTAAAATGAGCACGTTGTACATATTACCAGCAATGAAGACTCAGTTATTTAAGATAGACTTTCTTAAAATAAGTATTTTGTTACTTTATTGGGCTGAATTTAAGAATTTCTACCTTAATCTGAGTTGAACAATTAGCAAAAAAATGTCACAATTTCACAATAACAATAAGTGACTTTGTATTAATTGAAGGCACCAGAAACATTCCTATTTTTATAATTTTTTATTGAGACAATGAAAAACTAAACAGCTGCTTCATTTACAACACTAGGACAAGATGGCTTTTTCTTTCATTGAGGAGCTGTGCGAGTGATCCTACTCTTTCATGAGTTTTAAAGCATGTTGCGGCCGACAAAAATGCGATCGATTGAGGAATGAAATAATAACCTGCGCTGGGGCCTAAAGTTCCCAGTTATCAAAAATGTTTATTGATGATCAGTGCACACAAATATGCTTCTTAATGAGTTCTGTAGTCTTAAAATCTAACTTACAACATTAAAAGCATGTGGAAAAAATAGTGTTTAATTCAAATAAAATCTCTTCTTATATCAGTGCATTAATGATTACAGTATTGTAGACAAATTGGCCTTTGGGTTTATGATTTGAGAGATTTTTGCTATTGGTGAATATGTTCTCTGTGTTGGCCACTATAGAGAAGCAAATGGGAGATATTTAAAAATATTTTGAAATAAATGAACTACAAACAGATTTCATGAGTCACAGTGTTATGAAAGCGACACAGCCCTCTGTGCACTGAGCAGAAATGAGTACATTTGCACATTGAGCGTGTTGGGAAAATGATCAAGTGACAGAATGTGATGCTCAGAAGTCATCGAGGTGACAGCGAGGACACAAAATGACATCAAACACTTGAACTGAAGAAAGAATTACTGATGTACTGTACTGTGTTACTAAAAGGCGTCTCACCTCTGCAGACATTTCTCTGTCTGGGATGAAGCTCATTAAGATGCAAAATGAATCATGTCTCCCTCCTCTGCTAATGTTAGAAATGCAATGGAAACAAGATTATTTTTTAATCTTGACATGAAGCAGGAAGTACATTTATTTAAGTATATGAAGTTCTGGTATATCACTGGAACGGTATACTTTACTCTGCCACATATCAAAAGGGCTGCACATTGAATTATTTGAAGGAGCAGTGTGTAGGATTTAGTGTTATATTGTAGAGTCTGAAATCTCTTTGCTTTTGATTTGGACAACAATATGGCCTTTTCCTCTGGCACCAACCTCAGAATAAACGTTACCTTTTGCCCCACTAATGGTAAGGATTCATGAAGAATAGTAAGGTTGTGTCTCCATTTTTCAACAGTTAG